AATATGTAATTCTTTTATTGTAGTAAAGCTTTGCAGCTGACAGTGAAAGTCTTGAAACTAAATGGCATCCCATTTTCCCTCATTCTCTGTAACTAGAAGAAGTGATAGTTTTCAGCGATCTGTATTTAATGAAGGAATGATCTTCTGAGTTTTAGTTTTTAGCTTATTATACCCTGCTGTGTGAACTTCCTTAGTGATAGATATGTTCTGTTTTCCTCCTGATGCTTTATTTTTAGGATTCATTTTATTTGAAAAAGCTTCAGTATAAAATAAGCATATATTATATAATATATACATAAACATAAATACGTACATGCAAAGACATAACTCACTGTAGTATATAAAACTTGAATATATAGATAAGATGAAATTAATTTCCTATCATTGTGTTTTGGGATTAGAAGGCCTATTTGGCAAAGAAAAAGGCCGACTTGATTAATCAGGAGATGTCTTACATTACCCATAAGTCTTAGCTTATAAAAACTATTAGGCCATGTGGACAGTATGTTAATCATTTACTTGTATATTCTTACATATTATCTTTGATACGTTTTTGGTGTAACCTTCAACCCAGATCAGTTCATTTCAGAAAGCCTACAGCTTTTATGAGATATTAGAGAGCAAAGCTCTGAGCAACATAAAGTCCTCCTCTTAGCCTGTGATAGAATATTGAGCAATGTGATTGTCTTCCACTACATTGTGTTCTATATAGTTAAACACATTGCTTTCCTTATCTTTAGTTATCAAGCCAAACAAAAATAAATAACTTGCCCCTTTCCGACCCAGGATGGAGTAGGTAATATTTTTAAATTGATTAACAAAGTATAGTATTTCTTTAAATGACAACTGACATTGAAACAGGAGCCATAGTCTTTGTGGAAGAGGCAGTGTGACAACATAAAATACTTGAAACCCTTATCTGTGATGACCTTTTTAAACAGGTAGTGCTGCCACTTTTTTTTTTCTTTTTCTTTTTCCTTTTCTTTTTTCTTTTTTTTGTTTCTTTTTCGTATTTTCTTTTTAAAGATTTTATTTATTTATTTGACATAGACACAGCGAGAGAGGGAACACATGCAGGGGGAGTGGAAGAGGGAGAAGCAGGCCTCCCGCAGAGCAGGAACCCCTGGGCTCCATCCCAGGACCCTGGGATCATGACCCAAGTTGGAGGCAGACGCCTAACGACTGAGCCACCCAGGCGCCCCTCTTTTTGGTATTCTAATAGTAAATAGCTTTGTACCAATTTCTGATCTGCATTTTCCTTATTAAAAGAAATTGTGGTAAGATGTGATCTTTTTTTTAACATAATAGTTTATCAGGCATCGCTGGTGGGCACTTTACTGAAGTCTTCTGATCACTAAAACAAAACCTTCTTTTACTTTTTTTTTTTTTTTTTTTTGTCTAAAGTAAGTTCTGTGCCCAGTGTGGGATCTGAATTAAGGATCCAAAGATGAAGAATTATATTCTCCACGAACTGAGGCAGAATCAGCCAGGTGCCCTAGACCTTGTTTTACTTTTAAACTAAAATTAACCAATAGTAATAAAAATTCTAATAATATAGATTTGAAATAATAATAATCTCTTTTGGGGTACCTGGGTGGCTCAGTGGGTTAAAGCCTCTGCCTTCAGCTCAGGTCATGATTCCAGGGTCCTGGGATCAAGCCCCGAATCATCCTCTCTGCTCAGCAGGGAGCCAGCTTCCTCCTCTCTCTCTCTCTGACTGCCTCTCTGCCCAGTTGTGATCTGTGTGTCAAATAATAATCTCTTTCCCCCTCCTATTATGAAAGTCTTTAAAATTTACATACATGTAATACTGTTGGCACGATTTTACATGTTTTAGGTTTTTTTACTCATTCAGTCTTGGCTGTCTTTCAATATTTAGAACATGTAGATTTTTTTCTTTATTGCAGCTGCAGAGTATTTTATTGCTATTTACAGATATGTCAACATTTGCTTACCTTATTCCTCACTGATAGATACTAAGGGTTTTTTTTTTTTCTTTTTAGGATTTTTTTTTTTTTTAAAGTAATCTCCACAACCAATGTGGGCTCAAACTGAGATCAAGAGCCTCATGTTCCACCCACTGAGCCAGCCAGATGCCCCATTAGTAAGGTCTTAAGTTAATACAATTCTGCAGTTAATTTTTTTTTTCTTTATATTTTGGTGTTGTGAATGGTAACAAATATTTGTAAATTCTAACCTGAGGAATTGCTGGGTCAATAGACCTTTAAAAATTTGATGTTTTCTAATTGACCTCCAGAAACAGCATACTAATTATCAGGGTCCATATTTCCTCACATATTGCTAATACTGGTGGTGTGTATATTTTAAATCATTGCTAACCTGGTAGGTAAAAACACGGGGATCTTGTGTATTTTTTGAATTTTGAGTAAAGTTGGACACCAGTCTTTTTACAGCTAGCCATTTTTTCTTGGTAACTACTAACACAATTTGTCCATTTTTCTGTGTGTTCTTATTTATTGGTATGAGTTCTTCATAGATCTAGAATTTTAAAATGCTGTATAATATTCAGTGTTGTTATAATATCAGTCATCTTTCTAACATTATACTGTAGTTAATTTCATGTATGTTGATTCCAGGTGAATTATTTTCTTAGAACAAACTTCTGGGTATGAAATAGGGTAAAAAGACTGTGAACTTCCTTGTATTGTTTTCTTAATCCAAAGTAGTTTATTTAATATGTAAGAAATGTTATTTAATGTATGTAACATATTTCAGATTGTATTTGAAATGGCTAAGGAAGTAAAAGAAAATCATCTGTAATCCTACCACCAAAGACAACCACTATTAATCGTTTTTGCTGTATATCTTTCCAATGTTATACTTTTATATTGCATAGTCTGCCTTTCTTTTCCTTCTTAACAAATATAAGGAACATCTTTCAGTGTCAATAAATAGAGCTCTACCACTGCATAATTTTTTGTCTTTTTGCTTTTTTAAATGTGTTGAAAATATTATAATATGCATAATAAAGAATTTACCATTGTAATAATTTTAAGGGTACAATTCAGTGACATTAAGTACATTCATAACCATTAACGCCAGGCACCTGAGTGGCTCAGTTGTTAAGAGTCTGCCTTTAGGGCGCCTGGGTGGCTCAGTGGTTAAAGCCTCTGCCTTCGGCTCAGGTCATGATCTCAGGGTCCTGGGATCGAGTCCCACATCGGGCTCTCTGCTCAGCAGGGAGCCTGCCTCCTCCTCCTGTCTCTCTCTGCCTGCCTCCTCCTCCTGTCTCTCTCTGCCTGCCTCTCTGCCTACTTATGATCTGTCTGTCAAATTAAAAAAAAAAAAAAAAAAAAAGTCTGCCTTTAGCTCAGATCATGATCCAGGGGTCCTGGGATTGAGCCCTGCATCCGGCTCCTTGCTTTGTGGGAAGCCTGCTTCTCCCTCTCCCACTCCCCCGCTTGTATGCTCACTCTCGCTCTCTCTCTCTCTCCCCCCGCCGCTGTCTCTCTCTCTCTGTCAAATAAATGAATAAAATCTTTAAAAAAAAAACCATTAAAACTAATATATCTCCAGAACTTGTTCGTTATTCCAAACTGAACTCTGTACTCATTAATGCAGCATAATTTTTCTTTTCTTTTCTTTTTTAAAGATTTTGTTTATTTGACAGAGATCACAAGTAGACAGAGAGAGGCAGGCAGAGGGTGAGGGGGGAGGCAGGCTCCCTGCCAAGCAGAGAGCCCAATGTGGGACTTGATCTCAGGACCCCGAGATCATGACCTGAGCCGAAAGCAGAGACACAACCCACTGAGCCACCCAGGTGCCCCATAATTTTTCTTTTTAAAGATTTATTTATTTATTTATTAGAGAGAGAGAGAGAGAGAGAGAGCGCGCGCACGAGCGCGCATGTGGGAACACAAGCAGGGGGAGCAGCAGGCAGAGGGAGAGGGAGCAAGGAGCCAGATGTGGGACTACTGAGATCGTGACCTGAGCCGAAAGCAGCTGCTTAACCAACTGCGCCACCCAGGCGCCCCCATTAATACAGCATAATTTTTATCCTTTAAATATTCTACTGTGGACATTTAAGTTGTTTGCAGTTTTCTCTACTTACAGGTAGCATAATACTTTTCCTTGTCTGATTATTTCCTCATGACAGCAGTTCTTCTAAGAATCTGTAGCAGTAGATACGTTAAGGACGATTCTTTAAAATTAGTCTTGAATGGCAGTCTTCACCACCACCCCCAAACTTAACTTTAATTTTATAATAAAAGTTAAGGTAACTAGGAAGTTACATATAAAAATTTAGTTTATGGATGTTTTGACGTTAATACAGCTATTTTGTAAAAAGATAACCTTTATGGAATAGAGGAATTTTGATTCTTTCAAAGTCAGTGATTTTTGCGGGGGGCTCCTGTCTGGCTCAGTCCGAAGAGCATGTGATTCTTGATCTTGGGGTGGTGGTGAATTGGAGCCGTATGTTGGGTGTAGAGATTATTAAAAATAAATGAACTTTATTTATTTACTTTTTAAAAAATACTTGTTTTTTGTCTTTTTTTTTTTTCTTTAATTTATTTGTTTGACAGAGACACAGCGAGAGAGGGAACACAAGCAGGGGAAGTGGGAGAGGGGGAAGCAGGCTTCCCATCAAGCAGGGAGCCTGATTCGGGGCTCATTGCAGGCCTTGATCCCAGGACCCTGGGATCATGACCCAAGCTGCAGGCAGCTGCTTAAGGACTGAGCCACCCAGGGGCCCTGTGAATAAACTTTAAAGGCAGGGTTTTTTTCAACAACTTGCGGTTCAGTAACTACTCATTTGAAAGGTGTGAAGAGGCGTGTGCGCAAGCTGCATCATTTGTATGGGGAAGGGTAATCATACATATTCTGCTGTTCTGGTGGAAAAAAGGTTAACTATTATCCATGTTCTATTTTATTTAACTGGTTAGAGATAGTGTGTTTTACTCACCTGGGGTTTTAACAGAATTTTTAAAAAATGTCAGAATTATAAATTTTTCTAATCAAAGCGTTTGCTTCTCCCTTAGGATTGGCAGCCACCATTTGCATGTGATGTTGACAAACTTCATTTTACTCCACGTATCCAGAGGCTGAATGAATTGGAGGTAATATCTTAACTGTTGTTCTGGTGGACTGTATGCCAGAGGGACTTTCTTTGAGGAATCTCTGTCACAAATCTAGTGGCTTTAGTGAAGCTAAATTATGGCCAATTATTGATAATCATGGTAAAACAAATGGCAGTAAGGCCCTCGTAGCAATCAAGATTTCATTAAAAACACCAATTGTAGTCAATCATTGTTGGCCTCTTAATTCATACACATCTAAGTTTAGGTGACAGCCACAAGAATTTAGATTTTGAAAGGAATGTACTTTGAGAACCATCTAATGGAAAAGATTTCCAGCTCTCATTTTCTTCCAAATACACATTTTTACTTAGACTTAATAACACACTTTAATTTCCTAAGAAGGGGTGAGGAATACTTACTTGGGTATTCTCTAGAGAAGAGATGATGTTTCTTCAATTTCTTTGCTACTGAAACCCTAAAGTAGAGGGTGAATGAGAGTTGCGTGTTGATAACCCTGAAATAATGTTTACATCAACCTTTTTCTAATCTGATTTTTTTTTTTTTAAGATTTTTATTTCTTTATTTGAGAGAGGGACAGTGAGAGAGAGCATGGGGCGGGGGTAGGTCAGAGGGAGAAACAGACTCCCTGTGGAGCCGGGAGCCCGATGCAGGACTCGATCTTGAAACCCTGGGATCATGACCCGAGCCGAAGGCAGCCGCCCAACCAACTGAGCCATCCAGGTGCCTTCTAATCTGATTTTAACATTGAATCATGTTTTGCTTTTTTATTAGAAAAACCAGACCTTTTTAACTTAAATGGAGCACATGTTCGCTGGGATCCTGTGGTAGTAGCATGGATTTGGTGGTAGTAGAATCTAGTGTCTGTATTTTTAAGTTGAGCTCCAAAGATACGAAAAGGGTACTAACTTTGAGGTCTTGGACTGTGTTTGGGAACATCTGAACATTCATCTCAGTTTTGCCCTTGAGCAAGATAAAACTCCTAAAACAGTCTGACTTAAACTTAATTTTCAAGGAGGGGAAAGAAAAATGACAAAAAAAATTTTTAATGAATTACAGACAACAGTAATAAAAGGAATAACATTTAATTAAGAAAGTGTCTCCTGGGGCACCTTGGTGGCTCAGTTGTTTAAGGGTCTGCTTTCAGCTCCAGTCATGATCCCGGGTCCTGGGATGGAGTCCCACATCAGGCCCCTTGCTCCGCGGGGAGCCTGCTTCTCCCTCTGCCTGCCGCTCCCCCTGCTTGTGCGCGCGCTCGCTCTCTCTCTCTCTGACAAATAAAATCTTTAAGAAAAACATTTTTTTTAGGGGTGCCTGGGTGGCTCAGTGGGTTAAAGCCTCTGCCTTCAGCTCGGGTCATGATCCCAGGGTCCTGGGATCGAGCCCCGCGTCGGGCTCTCTGCTTAGTGGGGAGCCTGCTTCTACCTCTCTCTCTCTCTGCCTGCCTCTCTGCCTACTTGTGATCTCTGTCTGTCAAATAAATAAAATCTTTAAAAAGAAAAAAAAAAGAAAAACATTTTTTTTAAAGTTTAAAAAAAAAAAAGTGTCTCTTTGGGGCGCCTGGTGGCTCAGTTGGTTAAGCAGTTGCCTTCAGCTCAGGTCATGATCTCAGGGTTCTGGGATCGAGCCCCACATCAGGCTCACTGCTCAACAGGGAGCATGCTTCTCCCTCTCTCTCCGCTTGCCTCTCTGCCTACATCTGCCTACTTGCCGTTTCTCTGTCAAATAAATAAATAAATCTTAAAAAAAAAAAAGTGTCTCCTAGTTTTCTTTTACCTTATCAGGACTCATTAAAATTGATACGGAATCACTGTTGTAAAATCTGTTTTTAGATTTATGTTTGAGAAAATAAGAAAATTTGTGCTTAGAAAAGAACAGACCTTCAAAATATCCCAATTAAGGTGCCTCCTTAGCGCGGTAGGCAGTGTGTCAAGTCTCATAAAATACCTGAATTGTAAAAAGACCTAGAGGGGCATATAGAAACTTACTTGTCATATAATTTTAACCAATAACAAAATTGTGCTAAAGCTAAAGTCCTCCATAAGTGAAGCCCTTTTCAGAGTGCCTACTTAAGGGAGTCTTACTTTGTTTAACTCTTTGCTTACACATGGTAGGCACTGAATTAAATTTTTGTTGAGTTAATGTATATTTATTCAACCAGCTTTATTTTGTATATTTTTTTGCAGTTTCTCTATTGGATTTAGGAGTGATACTTCTTCACTTAAATATCTTTTTTTTTTTTAAAGATTTTTTTATTTTAGAAAGAGAAAGAGCATGTGTGGGGGCGCAGAGGGAGAGAATTCAAGCAGTCTATGCACTGAGCACAGAGCGCCATGTGGGGTTCAGTCTAAGTACCCTGAAATGACCTGAGCCGAAAGGAAAAGTTGGATGCTCAACCCACGGTGCCACCCAGGCACACCTCACTTAAATATTCTAAGAGTGAAAATTCCACACACAGGCTTTTTAAAATAAGCTAGGTGAGATTAAAATTCATTTCTTTGTCATTTAGGCTCAAACTCGAGTAAAACTGAATTTCTTGGACCAGATTGCAAAGTACTGGGAGTTACAGGGAAGTACTCTGAAAATTCCACATGTGGAGAGGAAGATCTTGGACTTGTTTCAGCTCAATAAGGTAAGAGGCCAACGGCCATCTCCCTCATTTTAGTGCTTTTCTGCCAGTATATACTTGATCTTCCTAATCTTAAAAAAAAAAAGTTATTGTTTGAAATGTAAAATGAAATTCTCTGTTTATTTGAGTGATAATTAGGCTCTATTTGTCAGGTCTGAAAGCCTCGTGAAATACTTTGCTGCTACCTTTTGTGGGTATCATTTTAAAACTTAACAATATTTCTGTAAGATACTCCTTTCTGTTTTATTATAGCTAAAAACAACTGGGGCTTAGGGAGAAAATTGACTGAGCTCTAAAGGCTGATACCTGAAATTCAGGTTTACTTTAGCGTAAAGCCTACGTTTTTTTCCCCAAAATGGTGCCATCTCTCCCACTCCTTAGTTTATGGAGATTTTTGAGGGTCACTGCGTTAGACCAAGGATTTGTTCTTTGTTACGGATTTAATTGTTGATCTAGTTCTTCCTCCCAGAAAATCTTGACTGCTCTGGGGAGCTGAGAAGTAGCTTTTGGGGGTACAAAATGTTTATGGACTGTATTGTCAAAAGTGATCTTCTAATTTTCTAGCTTGAAATAAGTAATGCATATATATTTCCGTCTGACTTGGGAAATGTATTTTTAAAAATTACCACAGCCAAGAACATTCTGTTCTTAGAGTTGTACCTAGGTAAGAGGGAATTAGAAGTGATTTCTATATAGACATTTCTGATTTCATTTGCTGTTAACAGTTAGTTGCAGAAGAAGGTGGATTCACAGTTGTTTGCAAGGATAGAAAATGGACCAAAATTGCCACCAAGATGGGATTTGCTCCTGGCAAAGCTGTGGGGTCCCATATCAGAGGGCATTATGAACGCATCCTCAATCCCTACAACTTGTTCCTGTCAGGAGACAGTTTGAGGGTGAGTATTCAGGTCAACTTTAACCTGGTGGGTTTTGTTTGTTTGTTTGTTTTGTTTTAAAGATTTTATTTATTTGACAGAGAGAAAGATCACAAGCAGGCAGAGAGGCAGGCAGTGAGAGGGGGGAAGCAGGCTCCCTGCTGAGCAGAGAGCCCGACGCGGGGCTCCATCCCAGGACCCTGAGATCATGACCTGAGCCAAAGGCAGAGGCCTAACCCACTGAGCCACCCGGGCGCCCCAACTTTAACCTGTTTTATTTCACAGCTTATTGGTATGTTGTCTTTCAGGCTGAATGAAGAGGCCTTAATTAATTCTCTGTGGAAGACTTTGTTTTGTGAATTGTTGAGAAGATTTTGTTTTGTGAATTTTCCCTCTAGTGTTGTGTTGTTCTGTTTTGAGAGCAGCCACCCCTAGAAGTTTGTTTCTGGAACGAATATGTTTGTGGAGGAAATAGCCTTTTGCTGTCCGAGGCTGAAGTCTGTGTTTAACTTCACGAAAACCGCGTCTTCCTTATGACAGGTTGATTATTATCTTGTTATGGTTCATGCTTTTGCATTCACGTACGTTGGCGATCATATTCCTAATTGTCACATGAAAGTGCGACCTGTGAAATAACTTGCCTGCCTGTTCTCTGGCCAGCTGAAATCTCCGAGGAGATTTTCAGATACAATGCTGATATGGGGGTAAAAGGTAGGGGACTTGATAATGGATCCCTCTTCTTATAGTTCCTGGGTAGCCATGTTTGTTCTTACAAAGAGGATATCTGCCAGCTTGCTCAGATAGGAACTTTTTGTTGTAATTAAAATATAACTGTATTATAAAATCTTCCTACTTATTTCAAGACACTGATGGAAAGAGTAATGTCATAATCCGTTTATACCCTTTGAGTTATTCTAAGGCAAGAGGTGTAAGCCCTGTAATTTTAAGAATTGTTACTGTGCTATAGTGAAGTTAGAAAGTTAATAACATAGCTTCAGAGGGTAAACTACTAATCAGAACTCTGTCTTGATATTAGAGACGTACCATCTGTAATGCTCAAATCCTATAGATTTTATAGCATTGCATTTTTCTTTCCTTTCTCCCTTCTCGATTCCAGGAGAGCTTTCTTTTCAGCTTAGAAGAACATGATCAGTCTGATATTCAGAAAGTTGTCATTTTTAAATATACACATGTGAATGTTTAATGAACCCAGGGATGAAATTATTTAGAACGTTGTATTTGGAATCTATAAGTCTCTGTTTTATAGTCAGATCTATATACAGTTGCCTACAGTAGATTTTCTCCTTCATAACCTTTCCGTTTCAGTGTGGAAGTCACAATGAGTAAGAGGAAAGAGTCTGTCTGCTTTATGGGTTGGCAACATTTTAAGAATATCTATAAACTTAGGTAGTGTAAGTTTCATAGTTGAAAAGCATGTAAGCATTTATTCAATTGTAGTTTGAAGGGGAGTGGGTATTTAAAGATACCTTTTACAAACATTACGTTTACAACACAGATAAATACTTATTGAGGGGCCCGTTGTGTGCCAAGTATGTTCTAGGCACTGAAGGGTGTTCATTGCAGAAAGCTTAAAAACAAAGGAAAGTGCGATGAAAATAAAATCACTCTTTAATCCTTTCACCTGTTTTTTCTTTCAAAGCTCTTTTTATGCATATATATACACACTGGGATTGTATTCTTCATTTACAATATTATAATCTGCTTTTCCTCTGCTTAATATATCATGAGCATTTGCCATGTCCTTGAATATTTTTGAAAGTCTAGTTGAATGACTCTGGCATTCCATTTTTTTTTTTAAAGATTTTATTTTTATTTATTTGACAGAGAGAGAAAGATCACAGTATGAAGAGAAGCAGGCGGCGGGGGGGGGGGAAGCAGGCCCCCCGCTGAGCAGAGAGCCCGATGTGGGACTCAATCCCAGGACTCTGGGATCATGACCCGAGCGAAGGCAGAGGCTTAACCCACTGAGCCACCCAGGCACCCCTGGCATTCCATTTTTGTAGCTAGACTTGATTTCTCTATTATTGAATGTTATATTATACCGTGATGGCCAGTTTTTGTACCTAATTTTTGGCTCATTTTGATTTTTGAAAATAACTCTTAGAAAAAGGATAAATAGAATACATATATTTTAAAAGAATGGAGAAAGCAATAGCACAACACACGTATTAGAATGGCCAAATTCAGAACACTGACAGCACAAAGGCTGGCAAGGACAACAGAAGTTTTCATTCATTGCTGGCTGGAATGTTAAAATGACACAGCCATTCTGGAAGACACTTGGCCATTTCTTAGAAAACTAAACATACTCTGTTACCATACAGTCCAGCAGTCATGTTCTTTGGTATTTACAAAAAGGAGTTGAAAACTTATGTCCACACAAAACCTGCATACAGATGTGTTTTAGCAACTTTATTACTCTTAAGTGCCAAGAGTTGAATGCAACCAACCTGTCCTTCAGTAGGTAAGTGGATAAATGAATGATGGTGTATCCAGACGATGGAGTATTATATTAGGCATTAAAAGGAGATGTTAAAAAAAAAAAGAAAAGAAAAGAAAAAAGAGATCTCAAGCCATGATAAGACAAGGAGAGGAGCCTTAAATATATATCACGAAGTGAATGAACCAACATGAGAAGACTACACATATTGTGTGATTCCAAACATAGTATTCTAGAAAAGGCAAAACTATAGAAACGGTAAAAAGATCAGTGGTTGCCAGGGGTTTTGGGGCAAGAGGGAGGGGAGGGGTGGGGGAATATTCAGAGCCCAGAGGATTGTTAGAGCAGGAAAGCTCTCCTCCGTGGCATTATACATTTGTCCAAACCTGCAGAATGTACACCACAAGTGAACCCTAATGTCACTTACGGACTTCGTAGGTTCATCACTTGTAAGAAATGTCCCACTACTCTGGTGGGGGTGGCGACCGTGGGGGAGGCTGCGCATGTGTGTGGGGGGGCAGGGTGTATAGTAAATCTCCACCTTCATCTCAACTATGCTATAAACCTAAAACTTCTCTAAAAAAAATAAAGGCTTAATACTAAGATAAAAAAAATCATGCCCAACAAAGGAATTGTTGCAAAAGGGTGAACTGAAGCCGAGAGCAAGTTTTGGGAAACGTAACGAAAAGTTGAGTAGAGATGTACTGGTGCAGTGGCATGGAGGCTCCACTCCTGTAATCCTGTGTTTTCTTCTGTTTCTCATTTTCTTTTTTTCCCTTTCCTTTCCTCTTTCTTTCTTTCTTTTTTTGTTTCTTCCTTTCAAGGCTTAGATTTATTTTAGAGAGGGAGAAGGAAGGAGAAACTCTAAGACTCCGCCCTGAGCATGGAGCCCAATGCCAGGCTTGATCTCGCGACCCTGAGATCACAACCTGAGCCAAAAGCAAGAGTTGGATGTTGAACCGACTCTGCCACCCGGGTGCCCCTCTTGTATTTCTGTGTTTTCTAAATGTCTCTGTCTCTGTAGCATGGTGTCCTCATGCTGTGGTATCAGTCGCATCTCAGTCCCACTTTCTCAAAGGTTAAAATTAGTCTGATGTACTAGCAGTGGATACAGAGCAAACACATCAGTTGTGTGTTAGGAATTGTGGTTTGGAACAAAATAATAAAACTCTCTGGGTACCTGGATGGCTCTGTCAGTTAAGCATCTGCCTTCAGCTCAGGTATGATCCCCGGGTCCTGGAATCGAGTCCCGCCTAGGACTCCCTGCTCAGCTGGGAGTCTGCTTGTCCCTCTTCCTGTGCCCCTCCCCTAGCTTGTGCTCTTTCTTGCTCATTCACCCTCTCAACTAAATAAAATCTTTAAAAGGGATACCTCAGTGGCTCAGTAGGCTGAGTTGAGTGCCTGCCTTCGGCTCAGGTCTGTTTCTCCTCTCCCTCTGCCTCCTGTTCCCCCTGCTTGTGCTCTCTCTGTCAAGTAAGTCTTATAAAATATATAAAAATAAAACCTTAAAAAAATAATAAGGCTCTCAATCTCTAAAGTCCTTATAGAACAAAGCAGACCATCGTTTATGGAACTATATAGACTTTGTGAGAGATAGGGACCACATATATAATCTCTTAATTTCCTTTAAAAAAAAAGATTTATTTATTTTAGGGAGACAGAGAGCATGTGAGTGGGGAAGGAGAGAGGGAGAGAAACAGACTCCCTGCTGAGTGTGGAGCCCTACGTGGGGCTCAATCTCAGGACCCTGAGGTCATGACCTGAGCTGAAATCAAGACTTGGATGCTTAGCCAGCTGAGCCACCTAGGTGCTCCTAATCTCTGAATATCTGACCATCTACTTTATAAAAGTTCCTTGATTCAGTTCAGTTTGTTACCTGCATGATCACACATACTGTTAGGTATCACGTAGAAAGTTTATAAAATACATAAAAGAGGTTAATTTAGATGATAGGTTTTATTCTCATCTGCATGCTTTCATTAAATATATTCTTTTTTTTTTTTTAAGATTTTGTTTATTTATTTGACTGACAGAGATCACAAGTAGGCAGAGAGGTAGGCAGAGAGAGGAGGAAGCAAGCTCCCTGCAGAGCAGAGAGCCCGATGTGGGGCTCGATCCCAGGACCCTGGGATCATGACCTGAGCCGAAGGCAGAGGCTTTAACCCACTGAGCCACCCAGGTGCCCCAGCTTTTGTTATTCTTGTATTTCCCACCTTTCTCTGAATTCTTTATGCAAACCTTAGGAGGAAGGAGCCAATAGTGAGACTGTATAGTAGTAATGGTACCCGTAGAGCCAGGAGTTCTAGAAGAGTATTAATTTACTGTGTCTTACTCTAGCATAGATGATATACCTAAAGTGGTAACAATTTGGAACCTGCTTTTTAAAAAGTACTTCTTGTGATACTCGTGGGTCCTATTACAAAGGAGTGTTACTTGAAATTCGTATTAGATTCCATGGTAATATTTTGATGTTACTGTGTTTTGTTGTGTTGGCATTAAATACCCTCTATCAGCAAGTTTAGAAACAAACTAAAAAATAATCAAAGCAAGAAGAAACTCTTGTCTGATCAGAACCAGAAGTTATTGCTGTGGGCTACCTATTAGCCTTTGTCTTGGGAGTTAGACCTTGTAGGAATATGTTGAAGTAAGTAAAACTACTAAAGGAGAACATTTCAGTCTTATTACCTGTTTTTTCAGTTCAGATGATATCTTTGATCACAACATTGTTAGTTCTATTTGAAACTGCAGAATTCTAAAATGTAGAAAATCTATTGGGTTCCATATTTTATGATTCTAAACACTATAAAAAATCAAATATTCTTAATATGGAAAGTTATTTTGGAAACTTATAAGAAGCCTATCTAACAGTTTGAGCCTTCAATTAATTGACAGTTGCAAGCAGGGATAATGGCAAGTGGTTCATTGGGAATGCCTTGAGCCTGCTGTGGCCTGGTGTAACCTGATGTCATGAGCAGTTAAATGAGTTAAAGGAGCACCATTCACCTACTAAATTTTTTTTTAAACTCTTACGTGTGTGTGTGTATATGATTGGTAACTGCAGACTTGTGTTTATTTAGATCTTAAAATTGCAGACTTTTTATGTATCTATGCAAACAACTATAAAATATACCTTGCAAAAATACATTGAAATTCTTTAAAAAGGAGGGGAAATTCATTAATAAATTGTGTTTTATTTCTAGTGTCTGCAGAAGCCAAACCTGAGCACAGACACAAAGGACAAGGAGTACAAACCTCATGATATTCCCCAGAGGCAGTCTGTGCAGCCCTCAGAAACATGTCCCCCAGCCCGACGAGCAAAACGCATGAGAGCAGAGGTGAGAGCCTCATGAGGTTGATCAGACAGAATTCTTGAGCCCTTGTACCAATGTCTGTCTGACGCTGGATTTCTCTCATGCGTGTGCTCTTCATAGTTTTGAACCTTGTTAACCTCAGAGAAGGATGCTGTTTGTATTCTAGCTTTTACACTTGGGGAGACTGTACTGTCAAAGCGATAAGGGATTGAAGAATTCTTACTAGGTGTCTGCTGCCTGAACAGACAGCTGCTTTATTGACAGAGTTTGGAAGAATAGGCATTCATTGTGATGGTGTTTGGTTTGCCTGTTACCGTGATGAAATTAGGCAGTGTTTATTGAGGTTTGAGGCTAGGGAATAGAGAACTGGAAACTTGCCTTTTTTCTTGAACCAGAGAGGTTAGAGGATAGTGGAAACTGTTTTTCTCAGGCTTCCTGAAAAGGAGTGTGGAATCCATGGGAGATACTTATGCTAATACAGGAAATAATTAGGCAGCATGGGGGTGGAAGCTTTGAATATATAAGATGAAAGAACATGAGGGATGATCACAAGGAATGAACGGGTAAGAAAGCCAGTTTGCGTCAAGATTTTTCTGCTATGAAAGGTATATTTTGCTGGTTACCTTATTTCTGTACAGAGGTGTGAAGGTTTGGGGTTTTTGCCTACCTTAATTGGACATGTAAATGTTAGGAATCAGTGATAATGTATTAGGAACATCTTAGAACTGGGAAGCCTCGTTGCATTTATCAGGTATTTAAATCAGTCGGTTATTAGTAATTATTGGTCAAGATGGGAAAAAAAAAGGAAAAAGAAAATACCTATTTTGTTTCCTGAAGAAATGGATATAAATAAGGGGATTATTTTTAACTTAGGTAAGTTAGAGATAGGAAAAAATTTAGTAACTCCATTTTTCTGAATTAAGATTGCCTCAGAATAGGAAAATATGGTAATTTGAAGCCCATAAACATGCTTATATTTCATTAGTCTAAAATATTCTTGTTTGAGCACGTCTTGATCATGAAATGTAGAAGACATGCCCTAGTGCTATGGGTGCCTAGGTTTGCCTTGATGAGAGATGCAGAGGGTGATAATAGCACCCTGGGAGGGATTTGGTCAGCAGTGGACACCCTGAGTACATATGAATGAACACGGGCAAAAATGATCAAGTGTAGTATTGCAAACTTCACAAAAGTTGTTTTGCTTTATTAGTAAGTATTACCGCTTTGGGAAACATTGGAAATTTAGACTGACTTAATGATAGGGGAATCCTTAATACTTTAGTGATGTTAGAAGAGTAGCTTGTGTTAACGCTTTAAGAGAAGAATTAATAGAAAATTATTACGGAAGCCGTTTTCTGTAAATGCGAACCAACTTTGGAAGAAGCCAGCAAACTTTTCAAGGCTAATGAAATTATATGATATTTATATAACTAGTAAGGATTTGGCTTAGTGATTACTGAATCAAGCATAAGGTGAGTAGATAAGAACTGGGAAGCTTCTAGGTGGAAAATCAGAGCTGATCCCAGTGGGGTAAGGATACTCCCCCGAATTTGTTCCTGATCCTTTGATTCTTCTCTATTTTTTTCTTTCCCTATTTTTTTTGACCTGTCAAAGTGTAGATACTCTTCTAACTTACTAGATTTTTTCCTTTCCTTAAATAATAGTAATTTTAAGGGTACATCACACCTCTGTGGGGAGAGAGAAGCATGTTTTGAATGTCTGTTTATAAGATTATAGTCACCTGGAGATTTCAGTTGGATTTTAGAAGATTTATTTTTTAAAAGGAAATATTTATGTATATGACAACTTTTTTAAAGGCCATGAATATTAAAATAGAACCAGAAGAGACAGCAGAAGCCAGAACTCATAACCTGAGACGACGAATGGGCTGTCCAACTCCAAAATGTGAAAATGGTAAGAAAGTTTATCTACGAGTAGGAAAGAAGAGTAAAAAGTAAATTAGTAAAAATAAGTATTCATTTTTTAAGAAAACATTACAACAACTGTTGAATACTAGTTAGTGGGTTGGGTCTTGAAATAAAATCTTAGTATGTTAATGTCCCAGTTCTCATAGTGACCAGTAGAAGTAAACAGATCTGCATATTAGAAATATGACTGAGTTTCTCAGCTGTCACTAATTGTTACTTTGGAATTAGGTTAAATGGCATTCGATGAAAAAAGTGATTTATGCGTAGCATAGGTGCCTTTGACTGGATATCTGATAAGTTTATTTCAGGCATGGCAGGCAGACATGGTTTTTATATCTGAATTTTAGTTGATAATTGCTTAGCTGGCCGTTGCTTGATACTACTCACTGAGAGGTAAGTTCAGGACTCTAAAAGAGAAGTCCTCAACCCTATATGGGCAGGCTCATACAAATGAAGAAGTTAGTAAAATTGCTTCTTCTTAGTGATAGGTGAATTTAGTGGAAAGGCTGCACATTGTAGTGGAAAGTAGATGGATTTTTAAAAATACAGATCTGAATCTGAATCCTGGCCTAACCACTAACAAGTTGTATGGCTGTAGATATTTCTTAATTTCTTTTAATGTCCGTTTCCTTGTCTTTGAAATGGATTTGTTGCAAAAGGTAATCTACGGATAGCATTTAGCACAGCACCTACCTATGACAGGATAGTTCATTAATTGATAGTTAACTTTTATAGCTGAAATTGTCAGTCTTTGGAACCAGCATATTGGGGTAGTAAGTAGTCATAGGTTATGGAGGGATACTCTGTAATGTGGAGGAGGTACAGTTAAGGTCAGGAGGAACCTGCTTTCATCAATATATGTCATGCTAAGTATATATGTCAGTATAATATATGTTGGTACATGTTAAGAAGACTGTATCTTCAGCTCCTATTTTATTAAAAGCCTATAGACCTGAGCAACATCTCCAGAAGTACCCGTATCCATATTTATTACCACATTTAAATGGTCTGAGAGTTTTCATTTTATCACAAGCTATCAGCACCTAGCCCTTGAACATGGTAACAGTGGGTGCTGCTCCTGCATTGAAAAGGAACAAGGAAATTGTGTTTGTGTCCTGCGTGTGCTTGGGGGAGGGAGAGGTGAGGGAACAAGGTGAGTCAAGTGTAGTACATGAAGCTCTAACTCGGATTGCCTCTTACAGAGAAAGAAATGAAAGGCATCGTCAAGCAAGAAACCACTGAGAAGAAAGAATACATTGTAGAAAGCGAGAAGGAAAAACCCAAGAGCCGATCTAAAAAAGCCACCAATGCTGTGAGTTGACATGTTTAAACACTTTAACCACTTTTGTGCCTTACTTAGGACTGCTAGTTTAGAGTGTGACAATTAGAAGAACTTTTCATGTCGATTTATAGTATCAGTTTTTAATCGAAGAAATAAATGCATTATGAAGATAATAGTAACATACGGGGGAGGGGGACATTCACAGCCATTTTTCTGGAGTACATGCAGTTTAAAGACAGATAATGTGAGCTGGATTATATATGGAATGTTCCTAAGTCACTAGATCACGTCCAGATGGTCCGAGAGCTAGATCAGAAATCAGGTTCCTGTTTTCCAACTTTACAACAGGGTAGGAAGAGAAAGGGAAAGGAGTTGGGGGAATAGGACCTGAGCACCCAATGAGAATTAAAGGACTAGGTAACTAACCACTTACTCAAATGGAAACTTAAAGCTTGAGGACTTTACAGAGGATCTGGTTGCTTTTCTTCTTCTCTGCCCCTTCTGAGAGCTCAGTGAATAGCTTGACAACAGTGCTTTTTATCTTGGAATTTGAAATTATTCTAATTACGTGTTCTTCTATTCATAAACATCATTCCCACCCTACCACTAAAAGAAAAAAAAATACAATCAGAAAATGATCAGAATCCAGGTTTTTATTTGCTACAACAGAAAGACCGAGAAGATTCCCTATTAGTTGAATTCTTAGCTTTCCGTATTACTGAGTGATGTATTAGTTTTTAGGGGCTGCCGTAGCAAAGTATCACAAACTGACCTAAACAACAATTTATTTTCTCATGGTTCTGGAGGCTGGAAGTCTAAGATCAAGTTGTCTAGGGGGTTGGTTTTTTTTCTGAGGCCCCTCTCCTTGGCTTGTAGATGGTTGTCTCCTCCCTGTCTTCACGTGGCTTTCCTCTGTACCTGTCTATGCCCTAATTTCTTCTTGAATACTAGTCATATTGAATTAGAGCCCACTCGTTATGAATTCATTTTATCTTAACCTCTTTAAAGATCCTGTTCCAAATATAGTCACATTCTGAGGTACTGGGGGTTAAAATATCAAGATACGAAAAAAAAAATACATCAAGATACGAATTTTGGGGCTCAGTCCATTAACAGATAATAACTATGTATTTTTATCACTATGTTTGGGGGAACTTCTTAACCATGAATCCTTAATTAGAATATAAAGTGGTTTATTTTATTCATTTTTTAACTTTTATTTTTATTTATTTATTTTTTAAAGATTTATTTATTTATTTTATTTAACAGAGATCACAAGTAGGCAGAGAGGCAAGCAGAGGGGGCAGGGTGGGGAAGCAGGCTCTCTACTGAGCAGAGAGCCTGTTGTGAGGCTCGATCCCAGGACCCTAAAATCATGACCTGAGCCGAGGCAAAGGCTTTAACCCATTGAGCCACCCAGGCACCCTATTTATTTATTTATTTATTTATTTTAAATTTTATTTATTTATTTGACAGAGAGATCACAAGTAGGCAGAGAGGCAGAATGGGGGTGGGAAGCAGGCTTCCTGCTGAGCAGAGAGCCCCATACAGGGCTCGATCCCATGACTCTGAAATCGTGACTTCACCTGAAGGCAGAGGCTTAACCCACTGAGCCACCTGGGCACCCCAATATAAAGTAATTTAATGTGGTTAATGAACTTAAACATTTTTCTTTTCTTTTAAGCATGGCAAAATGGAAATTTTTTCTTTAAAATTCGGTTTTTGGTTAAGCTGATAATTTATTACTGAACATGTTGTTCTTCTAGAAGATGAGCTTTCTCTAAGCCACTGGAAGCTAGATATCCTAGTAATAAACTTTAAAACACACAGCTGAGGGGTACCTGGGCAGCATCGTCGGTTGAGTGTCTGACTCTTGATTTTGGCTCAGGTCATGATCTCATGGGCTGTGGGACGGATCCCCACTTCTGGCTCCCTGCTCAGCCAGAGTCTGCTGGGGATTTTCTCTTCTCTCCCTCTGCCCTTCCCATGTATACTCTCTCTCAAATAAATACATCTATTTTTCTTTTATTTTATTTATTTTTTTCAAAAAAAGGGAGAGGGGCATGAGATCTGAGAACATGATCTGAGCTAAAATCAAGAGTTGGACGCTTAACTGACTGAGCTACCCAGGTGCCCTACATAAAAAAATATTTATTTATTTATTTATTTATTTTTAAGATTTTACTTATTTATTTGACATCACACGCATCGGGAGCAGCAGGGAGAGGGAGAAGCAGGCTCCCTACTGAGCAGGAAGCCCAGCCCGATGAGGGGCTTGATCCCAGAACCCTGGGATCGTGACTTGAGCTGTATGCAGAGGCCTAAATGAATGAGCCACCTGGGCTCCCCAGAGAAATCTTTAGAAACACACACACACACACACACACACACACACACACCACACACACACAGCTGAAAAAGTTCTGACGTTAGATTTTAGTGTTGGGAATGCATTAAGCATTATAAAATATCTCATAAAAAAGGTGAAGCATTTTTATTTAAAATCCCTCTCATGGGAGGTGAATCATTTTCATTTGAAGGACGGGAATACTAGATTATGCCTCTATCCATTTTGTTCTTCGAATTTCACAAAATCAATGTAGCTCATGCTCTTGTTCTGTCCCTGTTTGCACTGCTGCAGGTGGATCTCTATGTCTGCCTCTTATGTGGCAGCGGCAATGATGAAGACCGGCTGCTGTTGTGTGACGGCTGTGACGACAGTTACCACACCTTTTGCTTGATCCCCCCTCTCCATGATGTTCCCAAGGGAGACTGGAGGTGTCCTAAGTGTTTGGCTCAGGTAAGAATTAATAGCAGAGATAGTATTAGAAAATTTCCTTCACAGTATTTTGTTTGTTTGCTTGCTTCTGGGTTTTGATAACAGTGAGCCTCATGATAAAGAGTGGACTGGACCTGACTAGGAAGGAGGTCTTGGCAGGGAGTCCCACAGCTATGCAACGCACGAAGAGGCAGAAAAAATGTTCTAACTACACTTAAATTTTTTTTTTTTTTTCATTTAAAAAAGCATTGCATGTTCTTTGCAAAAATTCTTAGACCAAATGACTTAAAAGAGAGTATGATTTCACAGTTGATAGACAAGTTATTTTGTTGTATATCCATCCAGACTTTTTTTATATTTTAAACACTACGTAAGTAATTTTACTGCTCTGTTTTTAACAAATATATAAATAAAATATAACTGTGTATATCAATAAAAATATTTTTTTACCTTTTTTATTTTTTGCAGGAGTGTAGTAAGCCACAAGAAGCATTTGGCTTTGAACAAGCAGCCAGGGACTATACCCTCCGTACTTTTGGGGAAATGGCAGATGCATTCAAATCTGATTATTTCAACATGCCAGTCCATGTATGTACATACACACTGCTTTGATTTGGAATTTTAATAACTGTTAGAAAAAAGTGTATCAAGACAATTTCACTAGGCATTTATTTTTAACTTGTCTGATGGTGTTAAAATTAAAAATGATATTAAAAATTAAAATGTTAAAATGCATTCTGATTTTTCACAGTAGCAATAACAGGATGTTAATAAAGGAAATTATCAGGAATCCTTTCAGTTCAACAAATGTAACTTAAAGAAAATTTCACAATTTATTGAATGACTCTTATGTGCCAGTCATCATGCTATGCATTGGGAACACATTTATATATTGTTGTGTTGTAAGTTAGTATTGTAAACTTTAGGATGAGTTCATTTATGCTCTTAGAAGCATAAGCATGTTTTATTCAGCATTTAACATTCTGTCAAGTGAGTGCAGCAGAATTAAACGGTTTTCTGCCGTAATGCTGGACACTTGAGCTGTGTTTTTCTCACCAACAAAGTGCTGTAGCAGACATTTCACACATCTAGATCTCTCTAGTTGGATTATTTTCTTGGGGTTCTTAACTGAGGTCAGATGAGAATATTTACCATTCCCACCCTCCCCACTTCAACGGCTGTATCATTTATGGGAACCCAGCAATGTGTGTGTGAACTTGTTTTTCCCTGATAGCACTAGCATAAGCTGTTAGTTACTTAAAATGTTTGCTTACTTGAAGGGCTTATAAATTCAAGTTATACTCCATTTGAGTTTCAGTTCTTTTGACGCCTCATACATTGTATGATGTCCCGGTATGTTTGCTTAGCCAGTCTTGGTGGTGAGCAAATTTAAGGCATTTAAGTTACCTTTCTCTAGGTTTGCATCAGATTAACAACAGATCCTGGACAGGCCGTCTGGTGGCTCTTTGTACTGCTGCAGGCTGCTGCAAAGGAATTGTTCTTTCTGTTCATATTTTGCACTCTGTCTTTTTCATCATGGTTGTCTGCCTTACTCTCAGCCAGGTCAAGGGCAAGGAGTGAAATGATGGACTCAGGTAGTGTGTTTGAACACATCTTGAAGGATGAAGTGTCATTCGAACACAGCTATTAGTAGTGTATAATGGTCTGCCAAGTTATAGGTTACATTTCTCACACACAAAAACATCTCCATTTTTTATTCAGAATTTTGCTTTCCTTGACTTCCTTTTAGTATAGTGGCCAGGTCAGTGATAGAGGAACATGAATTCTTAATCAGTACTTACTTTTTTAGTTACAAAATTGCTTTTAGAAAATAATGTCTGTGTCTAAACTGCTTGGGATCAATTGTGGAATATTATGGGTATGATTTTCCTTAGGGTGTGTTGTGCTGTGACTCCTGTCACTTAGCTAATCTCTTCAGATTGGTCATGGGTAGTTTGTGAGTGTCTGAAAATTCAGTTTTTTGTCTTCCTCATTGTTTTGTTTCCAGATGGTTCCCACAGAACTAGTTGAGAAAGAATTTTGGCGACTGGTAAGCACTATTGAAGAGGATGTCACAGTAGAATATGGAGCAGATATTGCCTCTAAGGAATTTGGCAGTGGCTTCCCTGTCCGAGATGGAAAAATCAAACTTTCGCCTGAGGAGGAGGTAGGCTCTCACCTGGAGGCACTTCTAGTTCAAGCAGAGACCTGCGTTTAAACCTAATAGTTCCGCATATCCTTATCTAAAGTGCTTAATACAGGATTAATTGCCTTAGTGCAAACATGCATGTAGTTGGAACTTGAATTATTAATTAAAATTCTGTTTGGTTTGCTTGAAATAGTTTATGATCACTTTCAGTACATTTTTGATTACCAGATATTTTTAAAAAATTATTTATTTATTTGAGAGAGAGTGAGCAAGTGCGAGCAGGGAGAGAGGCAGAGGGAGAAAGATAAGCAGACTCCCCGCTGAGTAGGGAGGCCTGACAGGGCTCTTGTCAGGATCCCAGGACCCTGAGATCATGACCGGAGCCAAAACCAAGTGCCAGACACTTAACAGAATGAGCCACCCAGGCACCCCTGATTACTAGATTTTTTTTTTTTTTTAAGATTCTATTTATTTATTTGATAGAGATCACAAGTAGGCAGAGGCAGGCAGAGAGGAGGAAGCAGGCTCCTTGCTGAGCAGAAAGCTGGATGCTGGGCTTGATCCCAGGATCATGACCTGAGCCGAAGGCAGAGGCTTTAACCCACTGAGCCACCCAGGCGCCCCTAGATTTTTTTTTTTTTTTTAAGATTTCATTTATTTATTTGACAGTCAGAAATCACAAGTAGGCAGGGAGGCAGGCAGAGAGGGGGGGGAACCAGGCTCCCTGCTGAGCAGACAGCCCAACGTGGGGCTCAATCCCAGGACCCTGGGATCATGACCTGAGCCGAAGGCAGAGGCTTTAACCCACTGAGCCACCCAGGTGCCCCGATTTTTTTTTTTTTTTAAAGATTTTATTTATTTATTTGACACACAAAGAGAGATCACAAGTAGGCAGAGAGGCACACACAGAGAGAGGGGGAAGCAGGCTCCCTCCTGAGCAGAGAGCCCGATTCGGGACTCGATCCCAGGACCCTAAGAGCATGACCTGAGCCGAAGGCAGAGGCTTAACCCACTGAGCCACCCGGGCACTCTGATTACTAGATTTTTAATGATTTCAAGAAAAGCAGAAAGAGCCCATAGAAGGATTCTAGTCCCAGCTGTTCAACTACATTGTGATGATATGGGAAGATTACTTAAGCTCCCTTTGCTTTCAGTCTATAACTGTGATACTACCTTCTGAGGAAAATTTGAGGGATTGGGACCAGACCTCAATTTATCTTTGAACTTTAGTGTTTATGAGTCTATTATTTTCCACAATAGCAAACATCTAGGAGGGTTTCTATTCCTATTCTAGTAGGAAGTCAGATTTTTAAAGATTTTATTTATTTGACAGAGATCACAAGTAGGCAGAGAGGCAGACAGAAAGAGAGAGGGAGGGAAGCAAGTCCCCTGCTGAGCAGAGGGCCTGATGCAGGCTCGATCCCAGGACCCCGGGATCATTACCTGAGCTGAAGGCAGAGGCTTGACCCACTGAGCCACCCAGGCGCCCGGAAGTCAGATTTTTAAAAATCTTTTTCAAATGTAACATATACACAGAAAAAAGTACATAATAATATGCACACTGAATTTTCACAAATTGAGTATATGCATGTAACTAGCACTAGAACAGGAACTAAGACATTACCGGTTATTACCAGACCTTACCCCAGAAGTTCCCCTTTTGTCCTCCCTCTTTCGCTACCTTCCATGTCTCAGGAAAACCACTTCTCCCACCCTCAGGACAATCACTATCCTAGTTACAACACCATAGGTTAGTTTGCCTGTTTTTGGACTTGATATAAACAGACTCATTGCTATCTTATTTCCTCTGTAGCCAACACAAGGGGGAGGCTGTACAGATACAAAAGTATATAATATGTGAATCTATTTATATTAAGCTCAAAACCAAGCAGAAGTGGGCATCTAAGAAGTTAGCATAGTGGTCTCCTGTCCTTTTCTCTAACCCTTACCCTTTTATTTTGAGGGAGACTATTTTCAGCCAGCTTTTTGAAACATTGAGAATCTGAAATGTTAGCATGCATAGCTAATCCTTTATACCTTTTTTGTTTCCTTTTTTAGGAGTACCTTGATAGTGGCTGGAATTTGAACAATATGCCGGTGATGGAGCAGTCTGTCCTTGCTCACATTACTGCTGATATATGTGGCATGAAACTTCCTTGGTTGTATGTAGGAATGTGCTTTTCTTCATTCTGTTGGCATATTGAAGACCACTGGAGCTATTCAATTAACTACCTGCACTGGTAAGAAGTTCCACATAACCTATGAATCGTATGCGAGCTGGGCTGGAAACTTTTTAAATGTGTCTGAAGAGTAACGAACTGTTTTTTCACTACTGTTGAATCCAGGTGTCTTAATAAGGTAGTGGTTCTTAATGATCCTAGGAAATCAAGTCAATCCCCTGAAATTGCATATATACTATTTTTCAAGTATAACATGTTTTCGGGGAGGGGATAAACAGCTGTTAGTGAAAGAAGCCTTTGCTCATGGAAAGATTAAAAAGCACTGAACATTACTTTTCCTATGGAGAAATCCCATTCTGTGCAGGACAGCCCAGATACCCTTTGGGTAGCGGAATATAGGTCCCAAAGTGCCCTCCAGCTCCTTGGGCCTGTTTTGTTGCGCTGAGTTTTGGCATCATTATACACAGTAGAATGGACTTCATCAGTGCACAAGTGCGTGGAGGCGGGGTGCAGATACTCAGACTTTTTTTACTTTTTGTGTCTTCTTTCACATCTGTTTTTACCCCCTCCGTTTCCTTTGCTTTTCTAAGTACAGAAATATCTGAAGCTCTGTAACTCACTTAAATCCCCACACGAGGAATTTGAGGATGTACCACAAGAAAGAGAGAGTTGGGAAATATATGTGGAGCATCAGTTCTGCCTCCCTTGGCAATTGCTCCCAGCTGTAAAATGAAGATTATATTTACCATACCTCACAGGGATGTTACAGATTAATTGGTTGACAGTTTAAAGTGCTTTGAAGAATAAGAGCTCTTTGGAAATGCTAATTGCCTTATTAGTGTTTGATTTACCCTCGCCTGTCAGAATGGACAAGGGAAAAGGAAGATGGAGAGTTGCCATCCCTTGTCAGTTGCTATAAGAGACTGTGGTAACCACATATCCTGTAGCTAACATATGATGCCTCGTATTTTTAGAAATTCTAGATATTTACATTTTCTAAAGAGTCAGATAAAAATGGGAGGGAAGAGGGGAGCCTCAGATGGAAAGTCTCTCATTTAAACTCTATGTGAAGGGGGAAAATGCATCACATATGTTCAGATCACGTTTCTAATGACACTCAGTTTGAACATTTCCTTTGTGGAATAATCTTACAAAGCAGGGTCTGAAAAACATGACTTGTTAACCATTTTGTTTGTGTTAGTGTTGCAGACTGATTTTTTCTAATGAAATTTGATGTTTATATATTTCTTGAGATTGATTTATTTTTACAATCTGTTTCCAGGGGTGAGCCAAAAACCTGGTATGGAGTCCCGGGGTATGCTGCTGAGCAGCTAGAAAATGTAATGAAGAAACTAGCTCCAGAGCTCTTTGTGTCCCAGCCAGATCTTCTCCATCAGCTTGTGACCATCATGAACCCCAATACCCTGATGACTCACGAAGTGCCTGTATGTTCTGGGTCAATTCTCCTGTACTTAGGCTTAACCCACCACTTCTCTTCCCTGTTACTCAGTTTTTTTATGAAGTTGATTTAGTTATGTGTGTTTCATACTATAACTGGATAGAAAAAATAGCTGTTTGGTGGAATTTGATACTATATTGCAATAAGCCAGTAGGACTGGATCCTCAGACACCATAAAAACTAATTTGTTGCAGCTAATAACTAGGTTGCTAGCGGCCATATTTTGCAAATAATAAGTATGATGCTTTCTTTTTTATTCAGTGTCTATTTTAGGGTTTCTTTTTTTTTTTTTTAAATTTTTTTATTTTTTTATTTTTATTTTTTTTATTTTTATTTTTTATTTTTTTATTTTATTTATTTATTTTTTTAATTTTTTTTTTTTTTTAAGATTTTATTTATTTGTCAGAGAGAGAGAGCGAGAGTGAGCACAGGCAGATAGAGTGGCAGGCAGAGGCAGAGGGAGAAGCAGGCTCCCTGCTGAGCAAGGAGCCCGATGTGGGACTCGATCCCAGGACTCTGGGATCATGACCTGAGCCGAAGGCAGCCGCTTAACCAACTGAGCCACCCAGGCGTCCCTATTTTAGGGTTTCTAAACTATAATTTTTCCTTAGAACTTCTGTCTTTCAATGCAACAAAACAAAAACCTTAATGTTACTTGTCTGTATAAATTACTGTGAAAATGTCTGGGTTCTGTTACAATTAGATCTAAACTCTAGTGTCAGAATCCTTCATACTCTGTCCATACTTAAAAAAATAATTTATGGAATCTACATGAACTTAATTCTGAATGGTAAACTGCAATAATTTACATGCTCAGTAGATATTAAACCTCCACCCCTAATTAAGCTTGCTTGCTTGGTTATTTAATTTTTAAGATTTTATTTCTTAGAGAGAGAGAGCACATGCACAAGTTGGGGGGAAAGGGCAGTGGGAGAGGGAGAAACAGACTCCTGATGAGTGGGGAGCCCCAACATGGGTGGGCTCCATCCCAGGACCCTGAGACTGACACACCCAGGTGCCCCTCAAGAAAAAATTAATTTTAAGCTCCTGGGCTTGGATTTAAGGGAGTCTCTTCTAGACTGAAAGGTACTGTTGGTGATACTGCCTCTGCAGTTGATGTACAAAGTGACACTTACTTGTATACTAATTTCCTGCTGGAGAATGCTCTGAAGATATCTTGGGAGGCCAGATTGAAATGTATGAAATTGAGGGGGTCCATCTTAGTTTGCTAAGTCATATGTAAATGATATATTTACTGTGCTAAGTGAATTCCTAATGCTGCTGTGACCTAAATTTCATGCTTTTGGGGTTCACAGGCTAGTAAATGGGGGCAGATGGAAAGGATTTTTCTTTGAGGGATTATAAATTATTCATGGACAATAGCTTGGAAAATAATGACCAGTAAAATGCCGGTCTCCTCATTGGTATTTTGCACATTGATTTTTCCCCCCCCTCATATTGATTGATCTTTCTGGTTTGTTATAAGTAACTTGCCCTAAATGGGACCTCTGGCCATGGTTCTCAGTTATTAAATTGAAGAACTCTTGAGACTTGATTCTGGACCACAGAGATGGATGAGTGAACCTGTGCATTTGGGGACTCAGCCTGATGCGGGGCGGGATACCAGGACCCTGGAATCATAACCTGTCAGAAAAGGCAGATAGTGTTTACACAGATAATGGCATTGTGGTGTGGTTTGATGGTGGTGTCGAGGAGGCTGACCCATTAACTCTATGGAGAATTAGAAAGGACCCAAAATGACCACTTGAATTAAAACTTGGATCTCTGAGGGGACGCCTGGGTGGCTCAGTGGGTTAAAGCCTCTGCCTTCGGCTCAGGTCATGATCCCAGGGACTTGGGATCGAGCCCCGCATCAGGCTCTCTGCTCAGCAGGGAGCCTGCTTCCTCCTCTCTCTGCTTTAAAAAAAAAAAACAAACAAACTTGGATCTCTGAGAAGGAATATTTTTGGCAGATTTGGGGTGGAGGGAAGGAAGTACTAGCAGTAAGAGGGATTGTGTTCATGTGGTGGGTAGTGGTCTTCAAACTGCTAACTGTACTTGAACCCTGAATGGCAGGTTACAGTACACATGGCTAGGGGCGCCTGGGTGGCTCAGTGGGTCAAGCCTCTGCCTTTGGCTCAGGTCATGATCTCAGGGTCCTGGGATCAAGCCCCGCAGCGGGCTCTCTGCTCAGCGGGGAGCCTGCTTTCCCCCCTGTCTCTCTGCCTACTTGTGATCTCTGTCAAATAAATAAAATGTTTAAAATATATATATATATATATGCCTTAGCTTTTAAAAAAAAAAAACATACACATGGCTGATCCTCACCCCCAGTTTCTTGTTCTGCTGGTCTGGGTGGTGCTCAAGAATTTACATTTTCAACAAGTTCCCCATTCAGTCCGGGAACTACATTTTGGACAACCACTGATGGAGAGAGATACATTGAAAAGCTATTTAATTTTCTTATTTCGTAAATTCAGTCTGAGGGTTTGTGTGCCTAGAGCAATATAGGCTTTTTTAATTAAAACTTTATTGAAGGGGGTGCCAGGGTGGCTCAGTCATTAAGCGTATGCCTTCGGCTCAGGTCATCATCCCAGGGTCCTGGGATCGAGCCCCGCATTGGGCTCCCTGCTTGGCAGGGAGCCTGCCTCTCCCTGTCCTGCTTCCCCTGCTTGCGTTCTCTCTTTCGAGGTCTTTCTGTCAAATAAATAAAACCTTTAAAAAAAAAAAACTTAATTGAAGTTAAGTTGATATATCATTAGTTTCAGTTGTAAATTATAGTGTTCTTACAGTTCTATACATGGCAAAATGCTCACCACAGTAAGTGTAGTTACCATCTGTCACCATACAAAGTTATTATTGATTATATTCCCTATGCTGTACTTTCATCCTTGCGACTTATTTTTATTATTTTTTTATAACTGGAAGTTTGTACCTCTTAATCCCCTTCTGCCTATGCCCCCACCCCCCTACCCTCTGGCAACCACCAGTTTGTTCTGTGTCTATGATCCTTTTTCTGGTTTTATTTTTGTCTTTTAGATTCCACATAAAAATGACATCATTGTAATTTTCTTTCTCTGACTTATTTCACTTAGCATAATATTCTCTGAGTCCATCCATGTTGTTGTGAATGGCAAGATTATGGTCGAGTAATATTCCATTCTATATTTATACCACATCATTATTCATTCATCTATCGATGGATACTTAACGTTGCTTCCGTATCTTGGCCATTATAAATAATGCTGTATTGAACATAGGGGTTCACATACTTCCACGGTGGCTGCACCAATTTCCATTCCAAAGGTTCCCTTTTCTCCACATCCTTGCTAAGACTTGTTATTTCTTTGTCTTTTTGATATTAGCCATCCTAATAGATATGAAATGATCTCTCACTGTGGTTTTGATTTGCATTTTCCTGATGATTAGTGATGTTGAGCCTCTTTTCATGTACCTGTTGGCCATCTGTATATCTTCTTTGGCAAAATGTATATTCAGGTCTATTTTTTAATTGTATTATTATTATTTGGTGTGAAGTTGTAGGAGTTCTTTATCTATCCTGGATATAAACCCCGTATTGGATGCATCATTTGCAAATGTCTTCTTCCACTGAGTAGCTTGCCTTTTCATTTTTATTGATGGTTTCCTTTGCCGTTCAACAGCTTTTTAGCTTGCCGTAGTCTCAGTAGTGTATTTTTTACTTTCCCTTACCTGAGACCTATCCAGAAAAACGTTGCTAAGGCTCATGTCCAAGAGATTGCTACCTTACTACAGGTGGTTTTTGAGTGGGTGGTGGGAAAAGGGAAATTATTGGAGAGAGATGTGTGAGGCCTAAATCAAGATATCTTTATGGGATGATATACTTGAAAAATAATGCAATTTCATTAACTGGTGGTAGGAGATTCTATTTTGGTGTAATAATAATAGAATATTCTTTTTTTTTTTTTAAGATTTTATTTATTTATTTATTTATTTATTTATTTATTTTTTTTTTAAGATTTTATTTATTTGACAGACAGAGATCACAAGTAGACAGAGAGGCAGGCAGAGAGAGAGGGAAGCAGGCTCCCTGATGAGCAGAGAGCCCGATGCGGGACTCGATCCCAGGACCCTGAGATCATGACCTGAGCCGAAGGCAGCGGCTTAACCCACTGAGCCACCCAGGCGCCCTATTTATTTTTTTTTTGACAGAGATCACAAGTAGGGGGGAGGGGCAGCGGCCGTGGGGTGCTGGGGTCGGGGGGGGGGGGACAGAGTCCCTGCTGAGCAAAGAGCCTGATGCGGCCTTGATCCCAGGACTCTGGGATCATGACCTGAGCCAAAGGCAGAGACTTAACCCACTGAGCCACCCAGGTGCCCCTACTCCTAGAATATTCTTAATTGTAGTTATATTTAGGTATGTCCTAATCCTGGATGTAGCTAAATTTTTGTAGTCAAAGCCTAGTGAAAGCCATGTTTTCCTTTCAGATACTAATCAGCCCTCATAATCTGGGATACTACTCCCATCTTGTGGCAGAATTGAGTATCTCTCTGATTATTTTACCGTAATTCTTTCTGTTACATTCTGTTCTGGTGTGTTTTTGTTGTTGTTGTTGTTTTTTTTGTTCTGTTTTTTGGTTTTTGTTTTGGAAAAAAAGCCTCCCTTTCTGGAGAATCATCTGATAGTCTGTGTCCAGATTGTCTTTCATGAATGTCACTAAAAATCCCCAATTTCTGTCTCTCTAGGTTTACCGAACTAATCAGTGTGCTGGGGAGTTTGTGATTACATTTCCAAGAGCCTACCACAGTGGTTTTAATCAAGGTTTTAATTTTGCTGAGGCTGTTAACTTCTGTACTGTTGATTGGGTATGTAATCATGATGTAGTGTGCCTTTTCAAATGTATTGTTTTCCTGCAGAAATGGCATATAATACTTAAGAAGCTTTCAGGTGTGGTTGCTTAAACCTGTTGCTCCTCAAATGGCTGGTCTACAAATTATTTACCATCCACAGCGGGATAAAGCACTTGGCACCACACTGTAAACCAAGCCTTTACTAACTCAACACACTGCTCAGTTCAGCTGATAAGTTTTTCTGCTGTAAAAGTGAGGCTTGATGAATAAAAGAGTGTTGATTTACACTGGGGGCAAAATTCAGTCTCTTATTGCAAACTCATAACGAAGAGTTCTGTCTTAAGACTATACAATGCTACCTTAGATCGTCTACAACATAACTTTTTTTAATGATGCACTTGCTTTCAGTTGTAAAGTAGAATTTTTATATTAGTACTAATACTTTTCATTTACGTAAAAAGATCTCGTTTCAAGTATGTGATGTTAAATCTAATGAATTATAACCTTGTTTCGGTGCTTTACTGAGTAATAGTACTACCTGTATCTAAAATTATTTTCCATTATGTAGTTTGGAGCATCCTTTTCCCTGAAGTAGGTTTAACCACACCAGTTCAGCATAGTTGTTTCAGGAAATGTGTAAATTCACATGTCCATTTAGATTGTACATTGTTCTGGACATTAACTACATTGTTAATACGTTGGGTTTTTTAAAAAGTGTCTTTAATTAATCTCTGCACCCAACATGGGGCTGGAACTCATGACCCCACGATGAAGAGTTGCATGCTCTTTTGACCGAGCTGGCCAGGTATCACTGTATGTTGGCTTTTTTAAACTGCTTTTTAATTAAGGTATCTAATATGCCTGATCTTTGAGATGCAAAGATTTAAAAAAGCCCGAAGCCTCTTAGAGTCGAGTCTGGCTGTAGGGTTGATGTATGTATTGTGACCTGGAATATGATCTTTGGTAATTTGGTAATGGTCAGAAGTCTTTGTAAATAGGAAGGAAAACGATGAATGTCACATACTATCCTGTCTTTTGACACAGCTGCCATTAGGCCGACAGTGTGTGGAGCATTACCGCTTGCTTCACCGCTATTGTGTATTTTCCCATGATGAGATGATTTGCAAGATGGCTTCCAAGGCTGATGTACTAGATGTCGTGGTGGCTTCAACTGTTCAGAAAGACATGGCCATTATGATTGAGGATGAGAAGGCTTTAAGAGAAACTGTCCGTAAATTGGTAAGGTTTCTGGAATCCCTATTGCATGGCTCTGGGTATAACTTAGTAAAATTCTTACATGTTAATACCATTTTAAGAAGTCTTTTCTTAGGCTACTTTCCTCTAAGACCCATTCTGATAGATGTGTATTAATATCTCATTGTGGTTTTAATTTTCTGTAGTGGCCACTGATTTACTGAACATCCTATCGTGTATATATGTATTTATTCTTTGTATATTATCTCCTTGGTTAACTGTTCAGATATTTTCCCCCACCCCCTTTATTATTGGATTGTTGTGAGATGTCCATTCATCCTATATACCAGTCCTTTGTCAGATAAGTGTTCTGCAAATATTTTTTCCAGTCAGTGGCTTAACTTTTCATTCTCAGAGCACTGTCTTTATAAAGCAGAAGTTTATTATTTTGATGAAGTTCAGTTAAGCAGTTGTTTCTTTTATGGATCTTTTGGCAAGGGTGGGAAGGGCAGAGGGAAAGGGAGAGAATCTCAAGCAGATTCCCCACTGAGGTGGGCCTCGATCTCACCACCATGAGATCACAACCTGAGCTGAAATCAAGAGTCAGATGCTTGACCAACTAAGCCACCCCTTATCTTTTTTTATGTCTTTAAGAAATCTTCCTAACCCAAAGTCACAAAGGCCTTTTCTTGTTAGTCATCTAGAATTTTTAGTTTTAGGTTTTACAAGTAAATCTCTAATCCATCTCAAGTAATTTTTATTTATGGTACAAGGTGGGGGTTGAAATTACCCTTTTTTACATACGGTTTTCTCATCGTTTCAGCACCATTTCTTGAGAATACCATTCTTTTTCTGTTGAAATGCCCTGGCACCTTTGTTTTGAAATCAGTTCACCTGTATGTGGCTCTATTGCTAGACTGTTTTACTCTCTTAACCTATGCATTTATTCTCTTGCTATTACCATATGGTCTTGATTACTGTAACTTTGTAATGAGTCTTGAAATTAGGTAGTGTGAGTCCTCCAGCTTTGTTCATTTTAAAAATTGGTTTGGCTATTTTAGTTCCTTTGCTTTCCATATGAATTTGAGAATTGGCTTATTGATTTCTACCAAAAATCCTGTGACAAGTTTCATTAGGATTCCATTAAATCCATGAATATAGTTGGGAGAATTGATATCTTTAACAATGTTGAGTCTTCCAATTCATGGATATAGTAGATCCACCATTTACTTAAGTCTTGAGTTCTTTCTTACTTTGCAGATTGCGACACACGGATCTTCCACATATTTTCTTGGGTTTAAAAATCACGTACTTGGGCTTCTCGGTGGCTCAGTTGGTTAAGCGACTGCCTTCAGCTCAGGTCATGATCCCAGCATCCTGGAATCAGGCCCCGCATTGGACTCCCTGCTCTTTGGGGAGCCCTGCTTCTCCTTCTCCCTTTCCCTCTGCTGCTCTGCCTGCTTGAGCTAGAGCTCTCTTCCTCTGTCAAATAAATAAATAAAATCTTAAAAAAATCACGTACTTTATGTTTTTTGGTACTTTTATAAATGATGCCTTAAAATTTTATTTCAGACAGTTTATTGCTGGCATTTATAAATGTAATTGACTTGTATATTGACTTTTTATGTTCTTCAACCTTGCTAAACTCAATAATAGTTCTATTGGCTTTTTTTAATAGATTGTTTTGGAATCTACAAATAGAGTCACACTGATTTTTTTTTTTTTAATATGACTTTTTAGATAGAATCCTTGAATGTTGGCTCTCTGAAGCCTGTTATGGACGAAGAGCAAGTTTATTCACCTTCCTCTGATATTTTATAGCTTAGGGAACCAATGCCCAGAGGGTTTAAGTGCCTTACTAATGTCTTACATCAAAAATGGTAACTCATTTGAAGAACTTTGAGAACTTACAAGTTTTTCCAGATGTGGAAATTGATAAGTTAAAATTGGGTGAACTGTATATCATTTGTTCTTAACTGAGATCCATAAAGTTGGTCCTTAAGCTCATTTTAAATAAAAATCGCAACCATTTTTTTTTATCTTGTAGTCCTTTTTAATTAGTTCCAGTTAATTTTTTTATTTTACTTTTTTTTAGATTTTATTTATTTGTCAGAGAGAGAGAGAGAGAGAGTGAGAGAGCCCAAATGGGAGGAGCGGCAGGGAGAGGGAGAAGTGGGCTCCCTGCTGAGCAGAGAGCCCAATGCCGGACTCATTCCCAGAACCTGGGATCATGACCTGAGCCAAAGGCAGAGGCTTAACCAGCTGAGCCACCCAGGTGTCCCTGATCAGTTCCAGTTTAAAACCGAAATTCATTCATTAGCGGTTTCTTTACTCTCCTCTGTTTTTGCTGGTCCATGTAATCAGCAGGAAGTGATCAAAAGGTTAAAATACAGAATAAAACAGTAAGACAAAGGAGCTTGCTTGATGGTTCATAAATTGACTTAATCGGATTCTGGCATGCTCATGGTTGGATTTGGATCCAGGTTCGGATAGGGAGAAAAAGTGGTCAAAGCTTGATCTTTCAGTGACAAAAGGTATATCGTAGGGAGGACTCTCTAGGTGTTACAAACTGCAGTTAAAATTTATTGGTTTAAGACCTCATTTTACTTGATACTGTTTCAGTTAGGAAATGATTTATTATGACTTTAGTGTCTTGTACATATTTCTAACATTTCAGATAAATACTATCCCTTTAGGTAACTTTGCCTGTGAAAGCTAATTGACTACTCAGCATCTTCTCATCAGTCATTGCTTCATGATAGTCTTCTCTTCTTCCTTTTAATTACTTTTGTTCTTTTTATGGATTCTCTAGCAGTATTACTCTGACGTTCTGTATAATAATTCCTCTGAAGTAGAAAACATGCATTTCTTTTGCTCTTATCATCTATACCCAAACTGTGGATAGAGCCAGCTCGGAGTAGAATAAAGAGCAAATCTCAATAGTCTATAGTCCTGTTAATTACTGTTTTCATACTCTGAACAAAATGGCCAAACATAAGGACCTACCTTGTCTAGAAAGACATTCTTTCCAAACAAGTGAGGTAGTTTACCTTGCCCATATTTGCTAGGTCATTGTTACTTTGTATTCCACACATTTTTAATCATGTACTCCTTATTTTGGTGAGGCTCCCCCTACTCCCTTCTTAAAAAAATTTTTAAAACTCACCTATTGCGTGTTTGTCTTGGGGGCTGGTGGATTATATATTCCTTTGGAGATCTCTAAAGTATACTTTATTCTAGGGAGTAATTGATTCAGAAAGAATGGATTTCGAGCTGTTGCCAGATGATGAGCGTCAGTGTATAAAATGTAAAACCACATGCTTCATGTCTGCCATCTCCTGTTCTTGTAAACCTGGCCTGCTCGTTTGTCTGCATCATGTAAAAGAACTGTGTTCCTGTCCTCCTTACAAATATAAACTGAGGTGAGTAGGAAGAATGATATTTTTCTGTGGAAAACCCTAAATCCTTAATGAAAGCTCAGTGATATTTGTGTTCCAGGATTGAAATACTGAGTATAAAATGTATGATTTTCTCCAAACCCAAATAGGTCAAAACTAAGTCTGCTGTTCTGTGTCCAGGTATAGATACACTCTGGATGATCTCTACCCCATGATGAATGCACTGAAGCTTCGAGCAGAATCGTACAATGAGTGGGCCCTGAATGTGAACGAAGCTTTGGAGGCAAAGACTAACAAAAAGAAAAGTACGTGGTATACAAAGTGTGTCTTGGTGATTGACAGATGGGGACTGATTGTAATGTAGCCATTGTAGTTATCAACAGATTACTTGAAACAACCTGACTTTTTCCTTGTGTAGTTCCCCTTTTTATTTTTTAAAAGATTTTTATTTATTTATCTGTTTGACACAGACAGAGATCACAAGTAGGCAGGGAGGCAGGCAGAGAGAGGGGGGATGTAGGTTCCCCGCTGAGCAGAGAGCCCGATGCGGGGCTCGATCCCAGGACCCTGAGATCATGACCGGAGTGGAATGCAGACGCTTTAACGCACTGAGCCACCCAGGTGCCCCTGTAGTTCCCCTTTTTAGCCAGGTTTATGGAGTGTAAGCATACGAAGTTTTAAATCGCAAGATTTGGCAGAGGAAAATCTTGATAGATGAATTAATGTATAAGATCATGTTTTTAACAAAGACCGTATTGTTAGGAAACAGAATAACCTTTTACACCTCTTGTCTCAGAAACAAAAATATCTCACATTTTATATGGAACCCTAGGAAAACATTTTAAAAACCTAGAGCTGAAGACAAAGGAAGTGTGTTATATATTTTTTTAAAGATTTTATTTATTTATTTGTGAGAGAGAGCGACAGAGCGAAAGAGTGAGCACAGGCAGGCGGAATGGCAGACAGAATCAGAGGGAGAAGCAGGCTTCCCCACCAAGCAAGGAGCCCGATGTGGGACTCGATCCCAAGACGCTGGAATCATGACCCAAGCCAAAGGCAGCTGCTTAACCAACTGAGCCACCCAGGCGTCCTGGAAGTGTGTTATATTAAATTAGGAATTTCTGGTTTATCACTTTTCAGTGCTAATCAAAGTCACAATTTCTGTCTCTTGTTAAATTACCTTGAAAGTCACGACTTTCCCATCACTTACAGAGTGTAGGAGAAAGGACTGGCCATGCAACAATGGGAAATCTACATTTGCCTTGTTTTGACAAGTCCATTGTCTTCCATCTCTGAAACATTTGCACATTGAAGAGCAACTCTGGGCACTTGTTTAAAACACTCTAAAGGAAAAAAAAAAATAAAAAAAAAAAATAAAACACTCTAAAGGTGCTCCTGACTGGCTCAGTTAGAAGACCATGCAGCTCTTGATCTTAGGGTCATGAGTTTGATTCCCATACTGGATACAGAAATTAGTTAAAAATAAATAAATAGGTCTTTGGGGGGAGGAGTCAAGATGGCGATGAGACGACATCAGGCAGCAGGAGATCAGCTATATAGCTTATCAATCCATTGCGAACACCTACAAATCCAACAGGAGATTGAAAAGAAGAAGAGCAGCAATTCTAGAAATAGAAAATCGACCACTTTCTGAAAGGTGGGACCCATGGAGAAGTGACTCCACAAAGCGACGGGAAGATAGACCGCAGGGGGAGGGGCCGGTTCCCGGCAAGCAGCGGAACAAGGGAGCACAAAATCAGGACTTTTAAAAGTGTGCTCCACTGAGGGACATCGCTCCAGAGGTTAAACCGGGGTGAAGCCCACATGGAGACAACGTGGCCCCAGGTCCCGTGAGGTCACAGAAGGATCTGGGGTGTCTGAGTGTCGCAGAGCTCGCAGGTATTAGAGCGGGGAAGCCGGCTACCGACAGAGCCGAGGAGTGAGCTCTCAGCTCAGGTTACCTTGAACCGTAATCCGTGGCACAGGCCACTACTCTGTGAGTGGGGACCCCACAAGATCCCATAAGACCTCCGCCCGGAAGAGCTCGGGAATCTGCGGGGTTCCGAGACTCCATGTGGAGCTGTGTGCCAGAAACAGAGACACTTGGTCACACCTGGGTGAGCTCAGAGTGTGGCCGGCAGCCAGGGAGATGGGAGCGATTGAGCGCTTTTCTCTGAGGGGGCACTGAGGAATGGGGCCCCGAGCTCTCAGCTCCTCCAGGCCAGAGATTGGGCGGTGCCGTTTTCATTCCCGTCCTCCGGAACTCTATGGAAAGTATTCAGGGAATAAAAACTCCCGAAAGCAAACCCGAGCGGATTACTCAGCCCGGCCCCTGGTAACGGCGGTGCAATTCCGCCTCTGGCAAAACACTCGAGAATCACTACAACAGACCCCTCCCCTAAAAGATCAACAAGAAATCCAGCCAAGACCAAGTTCACTTGCTAAGGAGAACAGCGGAATTCCAGAGGAGAAAGCAAAGCATGGAATTCATGGCTTTCTCCCCATGAATCTTTAGTCTTGCAAAGTTAATTAATTTTTTTAATATTTTTTCCCTTCTGCTAAATTTTTTTAACTTTTATCCTTTCCTCTTTCAATGTTTTTTAACTAGTTTATCTTAACAATACTTTTCATTAAAAAAAAATTTTAAACCTTCATTATTATAGTCCTATTTTATCCTTCATTGTATCTAACTTTATTTTTTGTATACACATAGGATTTTTTCTTCTAAAAAATTTGGGGTACAACTTCTTCTAATAGATCAAAATACACCCTAAATCTAGCACCAGGCTTATTCTAGTCTCCAGCCCAAGCAAATTCTCTCTACTTCCTTTTTCTTTATTCTCCCAACCAACTTATCAACTCCTTTTTTAGAAATTAAAAAAAATTTTTTTTTCATCTTTATAGTCATATTCCATTGCTTCATTGTGTTTACCCTTATATATGGTTTTCATTCTTTAAAATTTTGGGAGGTAGTTTCTTCTAAGAGACCAAAATACTCCCAAAATTAAGTGGGTGACCCTGTTCTAGTCACCAGTCTAATATATATATATTTTTTTCTTTTTTATATTTTTTCTTTGTTTTTTTAATTTTTTTTTTTCCTGAACAACTTTTTACCCCCTTTTTCTCCCCCCACAATTTGGGGTCTCTTCTGATTTGGTTAAAGCACATTTTCCTGGGGTCTTTGCCACCCTTTTAGTATTTTATTTGTTCCTTCATATATATTCTTATCTGGACAAAATGACAAGGCGGAAAAACTCACCACAAAAAACCAAGAGGCAGTACTGAAGGCTAGGGACCTAGTCACTACGGACATTGGTAATATGTCAGGTCTAGAGTTCAGGATGACAATTCTTAAGGTTCTAGCTGGGCTTGATAAAGGCATGGAAGATATTAGAGAAACCTTGTCTGGAGAAATAGAAACCCTTTCTGGAGAAATAACTAAAATCTAACCAAGTTGAAATTTAAAAAGCTATTAATGAGTACAATCAAAAATGGAGGCTCTTACTGCTAGGATAAATGAGGCAGAAGAAAGAATTAGTGATACAGAAGATCAAATGACAGAGAATAAAGAAGCTGAGCAAAAGAGAGACAAACAACTATTGGACCACGAGGGGAGAATTGGAGAGAGAATTGATACCATAAGACGAAACAACATTAGAATAATTGGGATTCCAGAAGAAGAAGAAAGAGAGGGGAGCAGAAGTTACATTGGAGAGAATTATTGTAGAGAATTTGCCTAATATGGCAAAGGGAACAAGCATCAAAATCCAGAAGGTGCAGAGAACCCCCCTCAAAATCAGTAAGAATAGGTCCACACCCCATCATCTAATAGTAAAATTTACAAGTCTTAGCGACAAAGAGAAAATCCTGAAAGCAGCCTGGGACAAGAAGTCTGTAACATACAATGGTAAAAATATTAGATTGGCAGCGGACTTATCCACAGAGACCTGGCAGGCCAGAAAGAACTGGCATGATATATTCAGTGCACTAAATGAGAAAAACATAAAGCCAAGAATACTATATCCAGCTAGGCTATCACTGAAAATAGGAGGAGAGATAAAAAGTTTCCAGGACAAACAAAAACTGAAAGAATTTGCAACCACCAAACCAGCTCTACAGGAAACATTGAAAGGGTCCTCTAAGCAAAGAGAGACCCTAAAAGTAGTAGATCAGAAAGGAACAGAGACAGTATACAGTAACAGTCACCTTATAGGCAATACGATGGCACTAAATTCTTATCTCTCAATAGTTACCTTGAATGTAAATGGGCTAAATGCCCCAATCAAAAGACACAGGGTATCAGAATGGTTAAAAAAAACAAAACCCATCAGTATGCTGCCTACAAGAGACTCATTTTAGACCCAAAGACACCTCCATATTTAAAGTGAGGGGTGGAAAACAATTAACCATGCTAATGGACATCAAAAGAAAGCTGGGGTGGCAATCCTTAGATCAATTGGATTTTAAGCCAAAGACTGTAATAAAAGAGATGAGGAAGGACACTATATCATACTCAAAAGGTGTGTCCAACAAGATCTAACAATTTTAAATATCTATGCCCCTAAGATTGGAGCAGCCAACTATATAAACCAATTAATAACAAAATCAAAGAAACACATTGACAATAATACAATAATAGTAGGGGTCTTTAACACCCCCCTCACTGAAATGGACAGATCATCCAAGCAAAAGATCAACAAGGAAATAAAGGCCTTAAATGACACACTGGACCAGATGGACATCACAGATATATTCAGAACATCCCATCCCAAAGCAACAGAATACACATTCTTCTCTAGGGCACATGGAACATTCTCCAGAATAGATCACATCCAGAATAGATCACATTTATGGGTAATAAATCAGGTCTCAACTGGTATCAAAAGATTGGGATCATTCCCTGCATATTTTCACACCCCAATGCTGTGAAGCTAGAACTCAGTCACAAGAGGAAATTTGGAAAGAACCCAAATACATGGAGACTAAATAGCATCCTTCTAAAGAACGAATGGGTCAACCAGTAAATTAAAGAAGAATAGAAAAAATTCATGGAAACAAATGATAATGAAAACACAACAGTTCAAAATCTGTGGGAAACAGCAAAGGCAGTCCTGACAGGAAAATATATAGCGGTACAAGCCTTTCTCAAGAAACAAGAAAGGTCTCAAATACACAACCTAACCCTACACCTAAAGGAGCTGGAGAAAGAAAAACAAAGAAAGCCTAAACCCAGCAGGAGAAGAGAAATCATGAAGATTAGAGCAGAAATCAGTGAAATAGAAACCAAAAAAGCCAGTAGAACAAATCAACGAAACTAGAAGCTGGTTCTTTGAAAGAATTAATAAGATTGATAAACCCCTGGCCAGACTTATCAAAAAGAAAAGAGAAAGGACCCAAATAAATAAAATCATGAATGGAAGTGGAGAGATCACAACCAACACCAAAGAAATACAAACAATTATAAGAACATACTATGAGCAACTCTACGCCAACAAATACGACAATCTGGAAGAAATGGATGCATTCCTAGAGACATATAAACTACCACAATTGAACCAGGAAGAAATAGAAAACCTAAACAGACCCGTAACCAGTAAGATTGAAACAGTCATCAAAAATCTCCAAACAGGGGCGCCTGGGTAGCTCAGTGGGTTAAAGCCTCTGCCTTCGGCTCAGGTCATGATTCCCAGGGTCCTGGGATCGAGCCCCGCATTGGGCTCTCTGCTCCGCGGGGAGCCTGCTTTCCCCTCTCTCTCTGCCTGCCTCTCTGCCTACTTGTGATCTCTCTCTGTCAAATGAATAAATAAAATCTTTAAAAAAAAAAATTTTTTTTTTTTTTAAATCTCCAAACAAAAGCCTAGGGCCAGATGACTTCCCAGGGGAATTCTAGCAAACATTTAAAGAAGAATTAATTCCTGTTCTCCTGAAACTGTTCCAAAAAATAGAAATGGAAGGAAAACTTCCAAACTCATTTTATGAGGCCACCATCACCTTGATCCCAAAACCAGACAAGGATCCCCTCAAAAAAGAGAATTACCAATATCCTTGATAAACACAGATGCGAAAATTCTCACCAAAATACTAGCCAATAGGATCCAACAGTACATTAAAAGGATTATTCACCACAACCAAGTGGGATTTATTCCAGGACTACAAGGTTGGTTCTACATCTGCAAATCAATCAATGTGATACAATACTTTAATAACCAAAAGAACAAGAACCATATGATACTCTCAATAGATGCTGAAAAAGCATTTGACAAAGCACAGCATCCCTTCCTGATCAAAACTCTTCAAAGTTTAGGGATAGAGGGCACATACCTCAATATTATCAAAGCCATCTACGAAAAACCCACCGCAAATATCATTCTCAATGGAGAAAAACTGAGAGTTTTTCCGCTAAGGTCAGGAACACGGCAGGGATGTCCATTATCACCACTGCTATTCAACATAGTACTAGAAGTCCTAGCCTCAGCAATCAGACAACAAAAAGAAATTAAAAGCATCTAGATTGGCAAAGAAGGAGTCAAACTATCACTCTTTGTAGATGATATGATACTATATGTGGAAAACCCAAAAGACTCCACTCCAAATCTGCTAGGTCTTGTACAGGAATTCAGTAAAGTGTCAGGATATAAAATCAGTGCACAGAAATCAGTTGCATTTCTTTACACCAACAACAAGATAGGAGAAAGAGAAATCAAGGAATCAATCCCATTTACAATTGCACCCAAAACCATAAGATACCTAGGGATAAACCTAACCAAAGAGGCAAAGAATCTATACTCCGAAAACTATAAAGTACTCATGAACGAAATTGAGGAAGACACAAAGAAATGGAAAAAGGTTCCATGCTCATGGATTGGAAGAACAAATGTGAAAATGTCTATGCTACCTAAAGCATTCTACACATTTAATGCAATCCCTATCAAAATCCCTTTCTTTTTTCAAAGAAATGGAACAAATAATCCTAAAGTTTATATTGAACCAGAAAAGACCTCAAATAGCCAAAGAAATATTGAAAAAGAAAGCCAGTGTTGTTGGCATCACAATTCCGGACTTGAAGCTCTATTACAAAGCTGTCATCATCAAGACAGTATGGTACTGGCACAAAAACAGACACATAGATCAATGGAACAGAATAGAGAGCCCAGAAATAGACCCTCAACTCTATGGTCAACTAATCTTTAACAGAGCAGGAAAGAATGTCCAATGGAAAAAAGCCTTTTCAACAAATGGTGTTGGGAAAATTGGACAGCCACATGCAGAAAAATGAAATTGGACCCTTTCCTTACACCACACAAGGAAATAGACTCAAAATGGATGAAGGACCTCAATGTGAGAAAGGAGTCCATCAAAATCCTTGAGGAGAACACAGGCACCAACCTCTTCGACCTCAGCCGCAGCAACTTCTTCCTAGGAACATGCCAAAGACAAGGGAAGCAAGGGCAAAAATGAACTATTGGGACTTGATCAAGGTTAAAAGCTTTTGCACAGCAAAGGAAACAGTTAACAAAACCAAAAGACAGTTGGCAGAATGGGAGAAGATATTTGCAAACGACATATCAGATAAAGGGATTGTATCCAAAATCTATAAAGAGCTTATCAAACTCAACACCCAAAGAACAAATAATCCAAGAAATGGGCAGAGGACATGAACAGACATTTCTGCAAAGAAGACATCCAGATGGCCAACAGACACATGAAAAAGTGCTCCACATCACTCGGCATCAGGGAAATACAAATCAAAACCACAGTGAGATACCACCTCACACCGGTCAGAATGGCTAAAATTAACAAGTCAGGAAATGACAGATGCTGGTGAGGATGCAGAGAAAGGGGAACCCTCCTACACTGTTGGTGGGAATGCAAGCTGGTGCAACCACTCTGGAAAACAGCATGGAGGTTCCTCAAAAATAGAGCTACCTCACAACCTAGCAATTGCACTACTGGGTATTTACCCTAAAAATACAAATGTAGTGGTCCGAAGGGGCACTTGCACCCAAATGTTTATAGCAGCAATGTCCACAATAGCCAAACTATGGAAAGAACCTAGATGTCCATCCACCGATGAATGGATAAAGAAGAGGTGGTATATATACACAATGGAATACTATGCAGCCATCAAAAGAAATGAAATCTTGCTATTGGCGATGACATGGATGGAACTTGAGGGTATTATACTGAGTAAAGTAAGTCATTGGGAGAAAGACAACTATCATATGATCTCCCCGATATGAGGAAGTGGAGATGCAACGTTGGGGGTTCGAGGGGTAGGAAAAGAATAAGTGAAACAAGATGGGATCGGGAGGGAGACAAACCATAAGAGACTCTTTATGTCACAAAACAGACTGAGGGGGTTCAGGGGGAGGGGGGTAGGGAGAGGGTGGTGGGGTTATGGACATTGAGGAGGGTATATGCTATGGTGAGTGCTATGAAGTGTGTACACCTGGCGATTCACAGACCTATATCCCTGGGGCTAATAATACATTATATGTTTATAAAAAATATATAAAATTGATAGTGTCGGGGAACAATTTAAAGAAATAAATAAATAAAACTTTAAAATAATAAATAAAAACACTCCATCCTTAGCCAAAAAATAAAAATTAAATGACAAACTCTCCTCCTGTATTTCATATCACTCATAATAAACAGTAATAATCTCAGATAAAAAATGACCTTTTCTTTATTCCTAGGTCTTGTCAGCTTTAAGGCTTTAATTGAAGAATCTGAAATGAAGAAATTCCCAGACAATGATCTTTTGCGTCACCTTCGCTTAGTCACGCAGGATGCAGAGAAGTGTGCCTCTGTCGCACAGCAGCTGCTTAATGGCAAAAGACAGACTAGGTATTTACTTTGCTTGAGTTTGGACTCTTGTGGCTAAACTTGGAAACCTATTGTAACTAGTTTTTCCTTCCATCCTGTATCCCTGTGACACTGAATCTGAGAATGATGAATGTATCATGTTCTCATGGCTTCTTGGGCCTTTGTCTTTATAGATACCGATCTGGTGGTGGAAAATCCCAAAATCAGTTGACAGTGAATGAGCTCCGACAGTTTGTGACACAACTGTATGCGCTTCCATGTGTCCTCAGTCAAACACCTTTGCTAAAGGTAACTCTTAGAGATGTGTGGGGAAGTACTTTGGTCATCCTCTGTTTTGTAAATCATTTCAACTGACATGATTAAGTCATCTTAGGTGGTTAATTTGTACATTTATTTGCAGATTTTATTTTTGTTTTTTAAGATTTTATTTATTTGAGGGGCGCCTGGGTGGCTCAGTGGGTTAAGCCGCTGCCTTCAGCTCAGGTCATGATCTCAGGGTCCGGGGATCGAGTCCTGCATCGGGTTCTCTGCTCAGTGGGGAGCCTGCTTCCCTCTCTCTCTCTCTGCCTGCCTCTCTGCCTACGTCTGATCTCTACCTGTCAAATAAATAAATAAAATATTTAAAAAAATAAATAAAAATTAAAAAAAGATTTTATTTATTTGAGAGAGAGAGTGAGAGAGCACGAGAGGGTGGGGAGAGTCATAGAGAAAAGCAGACTCCCTGCTGATCAGGGAGCCAGATGCGGTACTAGATCTTGGGGCTGTGGGGCTCAATCCTGGGGCCGAGGGATCATGACCTGAGCTGAAGGCAGTTGCTCAACCAACTGAGCCACCCAGGCGCCCTGTTTTGCAGATGTTTTTAATAACCTGCTGAGTGTTTTGTGTGTGTGTATAAAGAGACTATAACAGGCCTACAAAGGAGAGGTAAAGTTGGAAATTTTTACCTTAAAAGTAACTATCTGCTACTCTTTGCAGTAGGTAAAAGGTCTGTTATAGTCAGTTCTTTCAGTTGTCATTTGGCTTATATATTCTCTCATTTACCCATACTATTGCTAAAATCCTATGAGATGGAGGAGTCCATTTAATATGATTTGAAGATTCTAAGTACGAAAGAATCCAATTACTAAAATTGCTATTTTGATACAAAAACCTGTGTTTTTTTTAGGATCTCTTGAATCGTGTAGAAGATTTCCAACAGCACAGCCAGAAATTGCTCTCTGAGGAAATGCCCAGTGCTGCAGAGCTGCAAGACTTGCTGGATGTCAGCTTTGAATTTGACGTTGAACTTCCACAGCTTGCTGAGATGCGTATTCGTCTAGAGCAGGCCCGTTGGCTAGAAGAGGTGCAGCAAGCTTGCCTAGACCCCAGCTCCCTTACATTAGATGATATGAGACGTCTCATAGACCTAGGGGTGGGTCTGGCCCCATATTCAGCAGTGGAGAAAGCAATGGCCCGGCTTCAGGAACTGCTCACAGTGTCAGAGCACTGGGATGACAAAGCCAAGAGTCTTCTCAAGGCCAGGTAAAAAAGCAAACCCACCTCTTTCTCTTGGGGAAGATTGGGTAATACGTCCCATCGTAGAGCAGTAGAGCACACCAGTGTTCAGAAGCTGCAGATATATGTAGAAATATCTGAGATGTTTGGGGCGCTTTGGAACGCGTGTAAAAGAATATTAATTTTTTTCTTACTTTCCTGATTGTGAAATGAATGGTTCAAAGGGGAATTGCCTTTTCTAGAGTTGTTTGAAATTTCTTTGGACCCCAATGATCCCATCCATCTTCAAGAGAAGAAAAAGTTTTACAAATAAGTAGCAAACTGTTTAAACCCACAGCTAGTAAGTTCCCAAGGAGTCTTGAAATGTTTGAGTTGAAGACATTTACTTGCTGGCACTGTTCTGTAAAATGAAGGTAGTGCCAGTAATTCCCAACAGGAGTAGGAATGTACTTTTTTGCTGTTGGGTAGTAACACGGAACATCTTACCTGTGTTAGGGAGATTTGATTAGACTCAGGATAACCATCAGAGAGAAAGATCAGGCCCTCCCTAGTTTTGCTTTCTGACAGATCTTCACTGGTCCAATTGATGACATAAAGTACCAAAAAAATGCATGGTTACAGACATTCTTCTCTAATCCTAAAATAGTGGTCTTTGAGTAGAGAGCACATTTTTTGATACTATGCTTTTGGTATGTTGATAACCTAGAGAATTTAAATTTCCTTAGTGAAACTGTATGAATCTTAACAGTGTATGTAATTCAATACAGTAAATTATCTTTAAGTTACCTTCTGCAAATGAAAAGTTTGTGGTTATAGCAGCATAAATTCAGGAATAGGTAGAACTTAAATGCTTTATATTGGTTATTTCCTTTATCTTTGATGCTCCAACGTTTTATGCAGACTTTTGAAACTCGTTAGTTGGATATCTAGTAGTTACTGACACTTAAAAATTATTTGCTATCCTGAATTTCTTTTGAAATGGCTTTTCTAGTTTCTTTTGTAAACCTTAAGAAAAACGAACCACAAAAAAAAAAAGAAAGAAAGAAAGAAAGAAAGAAAGAAAATAAACCACAATATAAAATGTTAAATAGTTCTTACATTTCATATTTTAGACCTCGGCATTCATTGAACAGCCTTGCTACGGCAGTTAAGGAGATTGAGGAGATCCCTGCATATCTGCCAAATGGTGCAGCTCTCAAAGATTCAGTGCAGAGAGCCAGGGACTGGCTTCAGGATGTGGAGGCCCTGCAGGTTGGTGTAAGAAAAAAATGTCTTGGGGTGCCTAGGTGGCTCAGTGGTAGAGTGTCTGCCTTTGGCTCATGTCATGATCCCAGAGTTCTAGGATTGAGCCCCACATTGGACTCCTTGCTCAGCAGAGAGTCTGCTTCTCCCTCTGCCTGCCACATCCCCTGCTTATGCTTTTTTCTCACTCCGTAAGAAAAAAAAAAAAAGGTCTTGCATGTATAGGTGCATCTATGAAGAGTAATAATTTAAAAATTTTAAAAGCTACTGTTGACTCTCACCATACAGATTGTTTTCAGTTGGCCAGATTAATAATTTTTTCTATTCAGCCTTACATAGACCTACTTACCCACCTGTTGTCCTGACCAGTTGGCTTAAATATTTAAAGTTTAGGTAATTCAACCAACTTTTTCTGGGAGCTTGGGATCTTCTTAACAAACTTAAGTACTTGGTTAAGTTTCGAAGAAAAAGCTAAAAATGGAAGTGGGAGAAAGGTAGTTTCTGATCTTTGAGTACAGTTGTCTCTAGTTGGCTTGTTAACAACTTAGAATACAGACAAGAGTAACAGATTTAGTGAGTCTGGTTATATGATTACAAGGCAAAAGTAAGCCACGGGGCCTGGAATTTTTCACCAAGTAGTGACTTTTTTTCTTTTTAAAATTTTATTTGTGAGTGAGAGAATGAGAGACTGGGGAGTGCATGAGATTGCAGATGAGAGAGCACATGAGAAGAGGGGAGGGTCAGAGGGAGAAGCAGACTCCCTGCTCAGTAAGGAGCCTGATGGCAGGACTCGATCCTGGGGACTCCAGGATCATGACCAGAGCCGAAGGCAGTCATTTAACCAACTGAGCCACCCCAGTACCCCTCACTAAGTAGTGACTAGACTACTAGTCTAGTGACCCCTCACTAGAACAGTGCCAGGGTGCCTGGGTGGCTCAGTGGGTTAAAGCCTCTGCTTTCGGCTTGGGTCATGATCTCAGGGTCCTGGGAGTGAGCCCCGCATCGGGCTCTCTGCTCAGCAGGGAGCCTGCTTCCCTTTCTCTCTCTCCGCCTGCTCCTCTGCCTACTTGTGATCTCTGTCAAATAAATAAAATCTTAAAAAAGAACAGTGCCTCCCCACCCCACAAAAGAAATGAAACTTAACAAGTTCCAAAGTAATTAGCGCTAAGTGTACGTGCTAGATGTCATACTTAAATGACTTGCCTATATTTTAGAAAAGCGTTAAATTCACTTGTAGCATTTTTAAGGTACAGACAAAATGCATTCTGTGATTTACCCAGTTGCAGTTGGATTGCTTCATTTGAAAAGTGGTTGGTGGATAGTGTCTTGCTTTTGTCTTTGTAATTGTCGTAGGTCAGTCTTACAGACCTATTGAGGAAAAAAGATCTTTGAATTCTTCAACAGGCTAGATTTTTAAAAATTTATCTCATTCTGAGTCTAGAGTTCTGTTTTGTTGAAGCCATTGGATTCTAAAAATAAAAAATACTACCTGGTTTTCTGAATATTTGTCTAATTTTAAATAGTGCTAATTGATAAATTTTGCTAACAAGAAATGCCAAATCAGACAGTTTTAGCCAGATGTTTGTAACAAAACATCTGGTCATCTATTCTAGTTGAAAGGGAAGAGAGAAGACATTATTGTTTGATAGATATTATTACCTAATTAAGGGGTGACTCCAGCTAGCCAAAGGAAAAAAATTTATGTACTATGTACATAAACTTTCTTAATGGGAGTTTTAGATGCAAGCTCTTGTTAATGATGGAGATATTGTTGATTAGGTTTAGTCGTGGTCCCCCTTTTTACTTACAGTTGGTGGCAACCAGAAAGGCAGGGTGAGGTCATTGCAGTAAGGAGAGATGAGCACGTGGAATCAGGAGGAGGACGTACTATATACTACTTAGTACTGTGTTTTCCATAGTGCCCACAAGGACAAAAAGCAAGTCTTGCTCCATTCCTAAAATAATAGCCTGGCCTTTACTTGTACTATGTGCTTAAGGACTAACGGAGGGACGTGATGAACAGCACGGAGCCTCTTCGTACCTAGTGGGTTGTGTACTTTACAATGTTAGTCTGTACTCTACACATAGGAAGCACTCCATTTATTTATTTATTTATTTAGATTTTACTTATTTATTTGATAGAGATCACAAGCAGGCAGAGAGGCAGGCAGAGAGAGCCAGGGGGAAGCAGGCTCCCCGCTGAGCAGAGAACCCAATGCAATGCGGGGCTTGATCCCAGAGTCCTGGGATCATGACCTGAGCCGAAGGCAGAGGCTTAACACACTGAGTCACCCAGGTGCCCTTCCAGTTATTTCTAATTTAAATACTAAAGACGCATGTAATTTGTGAGTCACCTCTTTTAAGTGTCTAACAGAACATTTATGCCCTTACAGTTCCAGCCTGTAAGAATAAATATCAAAAGCAATGAAACAGCAAGTTCCTAGTCTTATGTTCAGTTTTCCCCAGTTTCCCAGAAAATGTCCCTTCTGGTTGTTTATCTCGTCTACCACCACATGTTGCACCTGACATATGGCTTTAAGTTGCTTTGAGTCTCGTGGTGTTTTCTTCTTGAGCCTTCTTTCTTTCATGTCACTGTCTAGAATAGTCACCCCGTGGTGGGTTCTGCCTTCTGGATTTGTCTCCTTATTTCTTTATGGTGTGTTCTAGCTTTGGTATTTCCTCTAAACTGGAAATTATTTTCAAAGAGTTGATGGGTTGAAGTTAAATATTTTTTACTTAGAATAATCAGGTGATACTGTATACTTTGTATTGCATCACGTCAGGAGACCTATTTGGATGACTACTTAGTGAGGCTAGAATTTACCATTGTGTTAGAACAAGCCCTCCAGTTCTCCTACCCCCAATCTCATGTTTTTATTCTTCTCCTATTTGGGTCTCTCACTCTCAAGGTGGTCCCAAGGGGCGCCTGGATGGCTCAGTCAGTTAAGCATCTACCTTTGGCTCAGGTCATGATCCCACGATCCTAGGATAGAGCCCTGCATCGGGTTTCCTGCTCAGTGGGGAATCTGCTTCTCTCTGACCCTCTCACTCTGCCCCTCTCCCTGCTCATGCTCACTCACTCAGATTAATAAATAAAATCTTAAATGTGGCCTCAGTATCAAGAGCATCAGCATCATCTGGAAACATATGAAGAAATGCAAATTCAAAAACAAAGAAAGAAAGAAATGCAAATTCATGGGCTCTTCGCTGGTGACTATCTGCAGATGGGGCCCAGGAAACTTACTTAAACAAGCTTCCAGTTGATTCTTAATGCATATGAACATTTGAGAACCATGGGACTTTTTGCCTTCTTTTAGTTTTCTGAATAATTTATACTGAGCTGCTTCATCATTGGGTGGATTGGAGTAAAATACTGTTGCTTTTATCAACATAAGTCTGTGTGAAAACCTTTTGAGTTATTGCAAATCTGCATTTCTCTTGAATTTTTTTCAGACTCTCTGTAGGGATCAAGATGACAATTGAATTTAGAAGGGCATTAAAAGTCAACAAGAGGGGCGCCTGGGTGGCTGAGTGGGTTAAAGTTTCTGCCTTCGGCTCTGGCCATGATCCCAGGGTCCTGGGATCAAGCCCCGCATCGGGCTCTCTGCTCATCGGGGAGCTTGCTTCCGCCTCTCTCCCTCTGCCTGCCTCTCTGCCTGCTTGTGATCTCTGTCTGTCAAATAAATAAATAAAATCTTAAATTAAAAAACTCAATAAGAGGGGCGCCTGGGTTGCTCAGTCTGTTAAGTGACTGCCTTCAGCTCGAATCATGATCCCAGGGTCCTGGGATCGAGCCCTGCATCGGACTCCCTGCTCAGCGGGGAGTCTGCTTCTCCCTCTGCCTACTGCTGTGCCTACTTGTACTCTCTATCTGTCAAATAAATAAATTTTTAAAAAATCAACAGATTACAGTGTATGTCATGTTCATAGTTGTATCCTTGGCGACTAGTACAAACTAGGTTTTTTTAAAGTATTAAGTGAAGGAATACATGTCACCCACACCCCCACTGCCACTGGTCAGCTGGCAAATTTTATCCATCTCTATGAAATTAACATTTTGAAATCATGGAGTAGGTCTACTCTGAATTGTACTTTTCCCACTTTGCAGAGAAGTATTCTTTTTCCTAAGTTGCTACAATTTTTCTTGACTCATTAGGTTGGAGGACGTGTGCCAGTATTAGACACACTCATAGAACTTGTTACCAGAGGCCGATCTATCCCGGTACATCTGAATTCTTTACCAAGACTGGAATTACTAGTAGCTGAGGTTCAGGCTTGGAAAGAATGTGCTGCTAATACATTCTTGACTGAGAATTCTCCATATTCTCTCTTAGAGGTAAGTTTGCAACCAGCCCACCTACAAGACCTTCGATCTCATAGCTTATAGAACATGCAGTCCCTTCCCTTACAAAGGTGGCATCACTGACTGGTCTACATACTGGGAGTTATTTTTTCAGTAGAGCCAGAGAGATTCTTCTAAACTTCCAGTGAAATAACATTTAAATGTCATCTGGATATACTTAGGGATAGCATTCAGTGTCTAAAGAATAACATTTTTCTCATTGAAGTTCCTCAATCTGGGTTGAAATTGGACTTCTAACCTTGTCCATGCTGCACCATTTGCATTTAATAACCCTGGTAAATGGTTTCATCCACCGCTCATGAAGTGCTGGAGTTGCACTTACTGTATTTTTTGTAGCTGATACTGATGTACATTATTACTAGAATTGGTAAATATCATGTTGAACTTAACTACCGTTTCATCCGATCTATAATCAAAGTCAGTCTTTTTTGTGAAATACATTCCCTCCCTCCTCGGCCCTCCCTTGGTAGAGGAGAGTTTTCTGACTTTAGGGCGGCGTGTGATAGAGGAAATGTTAGATAAGAAGTTTCCATCCTAACCACTGCTTAGGCTTTTATTGTGGGGCTTATTCCTAAGGCTTAATCTGAAACCATCTTACTGTTGTGCTTTGCCCCACGTTAGGTGCTGTGTCCTCGATGTGACATTGGCCTTTGGGGATTGAAGAGGAAGCAGAGAAAGTTCAAGGAGCCCTCACCAAGTGGAAAGAAGAAAAGCACCAAACTAGAGAGTCTGAGTGACCTGGAGAGAGCTTTAAGTGAAAGCAAGGAGACTGCTTCAGCTGTATGTAGTGGGCTTTTTCTTCTTCTTTCTATGTTGCCTAGGGAGGAGGATTTCTAACCCTTTCTTGTTCACAGGGATATTGGTAAGGCATGTAAAAGGATAACCTTAAAAGTACTCCATTTTACCAGAAAGACTTTCTGAAAATTGTCAAATGTGAATGTGAGTTCAAGCCCCATGTTGGGTGTAGAGCTTACTAAGTAAAAATAAATAAATACACAAACACACATGCTTAAAAAAGAAAAGTGTCTTGGATACCTTTGCGTCCGACTGCATTTAGTAAGCGCTGTTGATTCAAAGATGATATCATCATAAGGAGCTGAAGCAGAGTCTAGCTCATGTTTAGTGAGCCATAGTATTAGGACAAAAGGAGATAGGTGATTTGGATGCTTAGTTTTTTTGTGTTTTGTTTTTTCTTTTATAGAGCTGTAATTGACATATAACATTGTTAGTTTCAGGTGTACATAGTTATGGACTTTTTCTTTTTTAATGATAAGAACTTTAAAGATCTGGGGCACCTGGGTGGCTCAGTGGGTTAAGCCGCTGCCTTCGGCTCAGGTCATGATCTCAGGGTCCTGGGATCGAGTCCCGCGTCAGGCTCTCTGCTCAGCAGGGAGCCTGCTTCCCTTCCTCTCTCTCTGCCTGCCTCTCTGCCTACTTGTGATCTCTGTCTGTCAAATAAATAAATAAAATCTTTAAAAAAAAAAAAAAGGAACTTTAAAGATCTATTCTTTTGGGGTGCCTGGGTGGCTCAGTTGGTTAAGTGCTGCCTTCAGCTCAGGTCATGATCCCAAGGGTCTTGGGGTCGAGCCCCACAGCTGGCTCACTGCTCAGTGGGGAGCCTGCTTCTCCATCTTTCTCTCCCTGGCACTCTGCCTACTTGTGCACACTTAAAGATTTAAAAATTTTAAAAATAAAAAAATTTACATCTTAAAGATTTAAAAATCTTAAAAAAAAAAGATCTACTCTCTTAGCAACGTCCAAGTATACAGTATAGTACAATATTATCTGTAGTCAACATGCTGTACCTTATATCCTCAGAACTTCTTTTATAACAAGAAATTTGTACCTTTAGACTGCCTTTACCCAGTTAGCCCACTCCCTACCCCTGGCCTCTGGCAGCCACCAATTTGTTCTCTACATCCGTGGGTTTGGTTTTTTGTTTTTTGTTTTTTGGGTGTTTTCTTCCCCTGGGTGTTTGTCTTTGACTTATTTCACTTAACCTAACGCAGTTACATTCCATCTGTATTAGTGCAAGTGGCAAGATTTCCTTTTTTTTTTTTTAATGGCTGAATAATAGTCCATCGTATATATATACACCACATTTTTTTTTTAAAGATTTTAATTATTTATTTGACAGACAGAGATCACAAGCAGGCAGAGTGGCAGGCAGAGAGAGAGAGGGAAGCAGGCTCCCTGCTGAGCAGAGAGCCCGATGTGGGGCTTGATCCCAGGACCCTGGGATCATGACCTGATCCAAAGGCAGAAGCTTAACCCACCGAGCCACCCAGGCATCTCCGTACACCACATCTTTATCCATTTATCCACTGATGGACACTTAAGTTGCTTCCATGTCTTGGCTACTGGAAATAATGTTGAAGTGAACATGGGGGGTGCAGGTTAGTTAAAACTAACTTTTAAGTTAGTTTTTTTCTTTCCTTCAGATAAATACCCAGAAGTGGAATTGCTGGATCATTTGGTAGTTCGAACATTTTTCATTTTTTGAGGAGCCTCCATACTATTTTCCAGGATGGCTGCACTGATTTATGTTCCTATCAACAGTGCATCAGGGTTCCCTTTTTGCACATCCTCACCAACATATGTTACTTCTTGGCATTTTTTATAATAGCCATTCTGCTAGGTGTGAATTGATCTTGCATTGTGGTTCTGATTTGCAATTTCATGGTTGACCACCTTTTCATGTACTTGTGTCCTCTTTGTCTTTAGAAAAATACTCCTATCCTCTGCCTATGTTTGTTTTCTACTATTAAGTTGTATGTGTTCTTTATGTATTTTTTTTATTTTTTAACCCCTCATCAGTATGTGCTTTGCCAATATTTTCTTCTGTTCTATAGGTCAGCTTTTAATTCTGTTGGTTTCCTTTGTTATACAGAAGCTTTTAGTTGGATGTAGTCCCATCTGGGTGCTTTAAGTGGCACAAAGTGTTCTCCGCTCTTCCAGCTTTTTCCCAGTCCATTCCTTTGTAGCTGTCTGACTTCTGGTGATTGACATGGGATTGCCTTGATTTATGTATTTTGACACAGATTTCCTTAGGGCATATTTGTATATTGGTCAGATTCTAGTCAGATTCTGCTGCTTGAGCATCATTCTGTGTTTGTTTGTTTTTTAAGATTTTATTTATTTATTTATTTGACAGATCATAAGTAGGCAGAGAGGCAGGAAGAGAAGTGGGGGGCATAGGCTCCCCGCTGAGCAGAGAGCCCAGTGCAGGGCTCAATCCCAGGACCCTGAGATCAAACCTGAGCCAAAGGCAGCCGTTTAACCCACTGAGCCACCCACGCACCCCTCATTCTGGTTTTTTTAAGGTGCTGCTTTCCACTGTTAACTTCTATGGTCTATTTTTGTAAATCCATTTTCTTGAACTTCACATGCTGTATCTTTCAGAGTCTAGTCTCTCCTCATCTAGTGTATGAAGCCATGGCTTAAGAACTCAGACATTACTTGTTGACTTCATAGTAGAACTCTGAAAGACAAGCTGTCGGCTCTCCATTTGTGAGTTCTAGGAAGGCATCTTATCACATAACCCATGTATATATTGCCTGTACATTGTTTTTGTCTACAGAAACAGTGGATTTTTTAAAAATATGCCAAATTTTTTTGTTACCTAATTTACTTCTAGATCTTTTTGTTTCTTCCTACTCATTCATACTTTTTTTTTTTTCCCCGTTCCAAAAAGATAATGGAGAGTTCATTTTGGCCTTATGACTCAGGGCACCTCATCTGGTGAATCATAATGGGTCTGATGGTGGGTGGGTGTGATAACTGGGAATGGTTTTAACTGTAACAGGTTAACATTTTAAGGATTTGTGAATAGAATTGGGGAAAGGAATGGTTCCCACAGCCTGTAGCTTCTGTTTCTAGAGGGAGGAGCTCCATTTTAAAAGTCTACACTTTCGGGGCGCCTGGGTGGCTCAGCGGGTTAAGCTGCTGCCTTCGGCTCAGGTCATGATCCCAGTGCCCTGGGATCGAGTCCCGCATCGGGCTCTCTGCTCAGCAGGGACCCTGCTTCCCTCTCTCTCTCTCTGCCTGCCTCTCTGTCTACTGTGATCTCTCTCTGTCAAATAAATAAAATAAAAAAAAAAAATCTTTAAAAGTCTACACTTTCTCCTCCATTTATCTATATTTCTGTATCAGTGAAGTGCTGTTGGAGGACCATAGTGGTCCAGCCTTTTATAGGGGAAACTGGGTATTAAGTTCAAGGTGGTAGTAGCTAACTCTTAACGTAGCCAGTGATTTTAGTTTATCACATTTAAATAGCTTTTACTTCATGGTGCATAATGGATAAATCTGTAATGTCTAGACCTAGTTTATGTATTGGATAGCTTATATAGTTCATGAGTCCGTTCATATAAAGGTTCTAATTATGGACATCTTGTAAATACTGTTCAGGAATATGTTCAGTGTCACCTCAGGTTTTTACTGTGAAGTTGCTTCTGTTTATGAGTTATTTTCAAGACACTTATACAGGTTAACTGAGCTCCCCACTGTTCTGGGACATGGCTCGTGTATTAATAGGGAGGAAAGATTTTCCAATTTGAATATACCTGCCACACTCTGCACAAAAGCAACTTGCTTTTGTCTGTGCCCCAATGAGCTTATTTTCTAGCATGGACATGTGCGTGTGTACACGTGTGTAAGTGAAGTCTGATAAAGTGCTATTTAGTTCTTTCATGAGGTATCAGGTTCATTATCTACAATGGCTGTGTTCAGCACACACAAAGGCCTCAATGTTAAAGATTGTAGGAGGCATAAACTACCAGTCGTGTAGTGGCTGCTTTAGAGACTTTTTTACCCAAAGTGCCTCTCTAAAAGAACAGGAGCTAATGGAACTACGAAAATATGGAGAACCCCGGGAATTAGAGCATGCAGATGTGTGAGAAGCCTGTTTCTTTTAAGAGAAGTAAATGTGCAAGGAAGTTAGACTTTAAGTAGTAGCGTGTGCTCAGTCATTGCTCACATTGTTCACTGTGTGCCAGGCACAGGGCTGCCTCGCAGTCATCCCTGCAGGCCTGGGAGGTGGGCTCCGCTGTGAACCCCATTTAATACATGTGAACATTGAGCTGCAGTGGAATGTGCTGCCCAGGGCCACTCACACAGCTCAGTGAGCTGGAGCCAGGATTCGAACGTAGATCATCTACTCTGGGACCTGGGGTTTAGGAGAGGGCTAAATTCTCTCTGACGTTGTCCTTGATTGGTAACTCCTTTTTAGATGGCAACACTTGGGGAAGCTCGCCTAAGGGAAATGGAAGCCTTGCAGTCTCTCAGGCTAGCCAATGAAGGGAAGCTGCTGTCACCTGTCCAAGATGTGGAGCTGAGAGTCTGCCTGTGTCAGAAGGCCCCAGCTGCCCCCATGATCCAGTGTGAACTCTGCAGGGATGCTTTCCACACGAGCTGTGTGGCGGTACCCAGTATTTCACAAGGCCCCCGAATCTGGCTTTGTCCCCATTGTCGGAGGTCAGAGAAGCCTCCATTAGAGAAAATTCTGCCCCTGCTGGCCTCCCTGCAGCGTATCCGCGTTCGCCTTCCTGAGGGAGATGCACTTCGATACATGATCGAAAGAACGGTGAACTGGCAGCACAGAGCCCAGCAGCTGCTCTCATCAGGGAACCTCAAGTCTGTGCAGGATCGAGTGGGCTCGGGACTGTGGTATAGCAGATGGCAGGCCTCAGCGGGACAAGTGGCCGAGACAAATAAGGTGAGTCTGGACTTGTCTCTGCCGGTTCCTGGGATCTGCCCAGCTCTGTCCCTTTCCCTAATACCTTTGCTCTGGGACGGCTGCTGCTCCTGGCAATGGCTTGATACCAATGCTGGTGCCAGTGCTTGGTACCAGTGCTGACTGCGCAGCTCTCCACTTCGAGGGCTCTGTGTCCCTGCCGTGTTGTTTTCGTTTCCTCTGTTCCCGGCACTGGGAAGATGTCTCTCAGGCAGTCTACTTCTGGAGAGCAGTTTTCACCTTTTCATAGATAACGTAGCTGTCTACGTTTTCCCATTCTGTGGGATATATACTTAACGTACATGAATTTTTGGAATTTTTGCTTGACTGTTTTTTTCCCCTTGCTTCCTCTCGTGTAAGTCACTGACTAGAGGGGAAGGTGCTTTCTGCCTTGTGTCTCTTACTGCCCCTTGGGGAAGAAGTAGGTTTTGAAGTGTCTTGAGGACTGTGTTGCTTCTGAGGAAAGGCAGTGGCTTTCATACCAGCTGTGATCTTTCTGCTATAAAAGCCAGATTCTCCTGGCCATCACTGGGGTGGGCATAGTGTTTTGTCTTCTTCCATAGAAGGTGGCTGCAGGAAAAGAATGTGAAATAGCAGAACAGTAGAGTCAGGAGCGCCGTATTCAGTTGTCTTAAGAATTTGACCTGATTTTCAGATCTCGTACAGATTTTTCTAGCCGAGATCTCATAGCTTGCTTGTGCTATACTAACACAGACAGCGAATTATGAGTTAAATTGTTCAGCCGACCAAAGATAAAAGATAAAAAAAATTGATTTCTATCATATGTTTCCTTGTTTTCTTTTACATTTCTTTCCAGGCTTGTGAAATATAGGCAGTGCCTGGCACTTAGCAAATGATGAATTAAATTCTTGTTGCATAGGGTGAGTTGTGGTCATTTGGGTAGCCTACAGGGGAAACATGTATGTTCTTTATGTAAGATAGGCTAGAAGTTTACTTCTATTGATAAAAGGGGAGGACATAACTCATTTAACTTATTTACTAGTTCATAGTCAAAGGAGTGTTTCTCCTAGCACTTTTTAATAAACACTGAGGAAGGGAAGAAGGTGGATATGCATGAGATCTGGCAGTTCCTCACTCGGTTTGCTCAAAGGGGCACATGTCTGTGTTCATTGTGTTACAGCCTTCGTTAGGAGAATTACATAGGGAATACAAGGTTGTATGATCTGTTCTCATGCAAAGAAAATGCCTTATCTCCCAATGGTGGTCTTGATCTCTGTGGAATCAGTCCAGGTAAAACCAGGAAGACTAAAGGTTTGTTGGATATGAGTTGATTTAGCTTGATCTAAAATAATTAGAGACTTCTTTCAGTTGGGAATTGAAATCCTTCTTTCCTGTTTACCTGCTTGATAACCCAGACTACATTCCCTGGACTAGTAGAATTTTTAATCCTGAAAAAGCCTTTCTATAAAATGTTTTCCTTCCATTAGGTGTCTCAGCCTACTGGCACAACCTCCTTCTCCTTGCCTGATGACTGGGACAACAAAGCCTCATACGTACACTCTCCCTTCTCCAGTGGCCGAAGTTGCATCCCCCTCCATGGTTTGTATTTCGGATGAGGAGGAGCGGGGAGGGCTGGGTAAGATCAAGCAATCTTGCAGTAGGGTTTTGTTGTTCAGGTCCATACAAAGACTTTAGCCTCAGATTCGGATATGGGTTACTGTGTATTTGCAAGGTAGGAGAATGATCATGCTTGAAGGCTATAAATGCAAAACAAATAGAGAAAGGCTTTAACACACTGCTTCCAGGGACGAAAGGGTTAATCCCGTGCCAGCTGACATTTAAATACCAGTCATTTCAGTCAGATGCCATGTCACGGGTTCTGCTGGGATCTTAGACATAGTCTATACTTGAACCCTACCTCCTTTTTTTTCTGTGTTGACTCTTGAACAACACAGGTCCACTTAAACACAGATTTTTCTCAATAAATACATGACTGTAAATGTATATTTTCCTTGTGATTTTCTGAATAGTCTTTTCTCAGCTTACTTTATTCTGGAAATAGTATATAATACTTAAATATACAAAACGTGTCAATCAGCTTTATTGGTAAGGCTTCCAGTCAACAGTAGGCTGTTTTGGGGATGTATGAAGCATGAAGTTTTGTAGCATGAAGTTTTGGGGAGTTGAAAGTAATACGGATTTTCAGCTGTGCAGGCATGCAGCACCCCTGACTCCGTTGTTCAGGGGTCCGCTGTGCTTGTGTGTACATGGCTGTCCCAGGAGTTCTGCCTGGAGCCACAACCTAAGTTCTGACCCTTAGTCAGGCCCTCGTAGTATTTGTTTGGTAATGGGGTTGGAGCTACTCAGTTCACCCAGACTGCCCACGTCTTGCCCTGTTCCCTGCTTTCTGTTGAAGGCAGAAGCTATCCAGGCAGATGTACGGCCTCTTCCATATTAGCAGTAATTGAAAGTGAAGAAGGGATTCCTTGTAGAATTAGTACTTCCCCAGTAATCAGAAGCCTGAGAAAATCTTGTTTGGGCTCTTACTATATTATGGCTTTAAACACATTATGTGAACCTGACTGCAACTGAATATAATTTCCCAAGGAGAGAGTGGCAGTGGTTTGAGGGCTAGTCCTGCTTTGCTTGCATGTCCGCGTCCATGTGGAACACCCTCCATTTGTCGTCATTACGCTTTGGTGTGTTCTTTGACAGGTGTTAGTCCAGAAGTGAATGAACTGTTGATGGAAGCCCAGTTGCTCCAGGTATCCCTTCCTGAAATTCAGGAACTTTACCAGACTTTACTTGCAAAGCCAGCCCCTGCTCCGCAGACTGATCGAAGCTCACCAGCTAGACCCAGCAGTGAGAAGGTGCGTGTCCGCCGGGCAGCCAGGGAATACAGCCTGGCGTGGGGGGCATCCCGTCGAATTCGTTCAGTGAATGGGATTCTGTTTTCCATCCAGCAAAGGATGCAGACTTCTACCTCACAGCCTCCTTTCCTAAGGCTTTGATAAGCAGATGGGGCGGTAGGCATCACTCTGGCCTCACATCCTGGAGTTTGGTGCTGTTTTTTAAGTGACTGTGAATTTTTTTTTTTTTTTCCTTTTAGCATGGTGCTTTTCATCATCTCCATATGATAATAGCTAGAAGTAGAATTTTTTTCCTGTAAGAGAAAGACTGTAGAAATGAAAATATAATTATAGCTGGGAAGGCTTTTGGTACAAAGCTTTCAAAACTTAAAGAATATCTTGGAGTTAATGTTTAACAAATGTTTTAACTGCTCTAACCCTAACAGGACAGCTGGTGCGAGGACTGGGTCATCAGACTGAGGGGGCCCGTTTTGAGTGCTGACTTACTTGAAGGGGATAGATACCATGTATGTCCTACGTCTTAGCTTAATGATACTGCTACTCTTATGTTTCTTATGTTAGTGAGCTAGCTGACCTATAACATTCAGAACTCCTGATGAGGGTGCCTGGGTGTCTCAGTGCGTTAAGCCGCTGCCTTCGGCTCAGGTCATGATCTCAGGGTCCTGGGATCGAGCCCCGCGTGGGGCTCTCTGCTCAGCAGGGAGCCTGCTTCCCCCTCTCTCTCTGCCTGCCTCTCTGTCTACTTGTGATCTCTATCTGTCAAATAAATAAAATCTTAAAAAAAAAAAAAAAAACCCTCCTGATGAGAATGTAGTCAGGGTGAAGAGAAGAATCTCATTATCAACTATCATTTAGAATTTTATTTTTTTTATATTTTTAAATTTTAAAAAGATTTATTTATTTATTTGAGAGAACGTAGAAGGAGAGGGAGAGCAGACTCTCCACTGAGCATGGAGCCTGACGTGGAGCTCGATCTCACGACTCTGAGATCATGACCTGAGCCTAAAACAAAAGTCAGACCAGACGCTCAACCAACTGAGCCTCCCAGGTGCCCCTAGAATTTTATTTTTCATTATGATACCAAATAGTAGTGTAGCACCATTATTGATGACGTTCATTTAAGGCACTTTATTACTTTAAGGGGTTGGGATGTATGTCCTTCAGGAAGGGACGTATCAGCACGGTTCCTTAGAAGTCTGTGGTAAGAGGATAAGCATACACACCTAGGTAGGAACTACATGGTAGTCTTTTACTCCTGTAGTTGGTGAAGAGAAGAATGTAGGCATCTGCCCATCTTCTGCTGCTAATTTGAAAGCTAATCATGTCTTTAACATTTCCTTTTTCTACTCTTTCTTTTGATAGCACTAGCAGTTAAGTTAGCTAAACCCAAACAGGTTGTCCTGTAGGACGTGAGAGGACGTGGTGGCAGGGGTGTTAGGATGCGGGTTTGGGTTTTTTTGGTTTGGTTTTTTGTTTTGTTTTGTTTTTTCTTCAGTAAGTCTTCTCTACACCTGATGTGGGGCTCGAACTCACCCCCAGGTAAAGTTGAGTGCTCTTCCCCGACTGAACCAGCGAGGCGCCCCGGGTTGCAGGCTTTTTTAATGTTGATGAGAGATCATCCGGTTTCTCATACAGCTAATAGTTCACTAGTTTGGGTAACAGGCAGACGGCCGGCTAAAATCCAATTTGCCTATCTTCCACCCAGAATGAGTGCTGCCGCGGGAAGCGAGACGGAATCAACAGTCTTGAGAGAAAACTGAAGAGACGCCTGGAAAGAGAAGGCCTCTCCAGTGACCGATGGGATCGAGTTAAAAAAGTGCGGACCCCCAAAAAGAAGAAAATCAAACTGAGCCACTCCAAGGACATGAACAGTTTCAAGTTAGAGAGAGAGCGTAGCTATGAGTTAGTCCGTTCTGCCGAAACTCACTCCCTGCCCTCAGATACATCCTATTCGGAACAGGAGGACTCTGAGGATGAAGATGCCGTCTGCCCCGCTGTGAGCTGCCTGCAGCCAGAAGGAGATGAGGTCAGTGAGGTTTGGGCCATAGAGGACGTGCTTTCCCTTAACTCAGAAACCCTGTAAGCTACACCTCATCTCGCTGGGTCTTTCTCTCCTGCTTCTGTGCTTTGAGCTGATCTGAATGGATTGCTCAGCCCTCCCCCACTGATACCTCTGCTCTTACATCGTTCCTGGGCCTTCTCCCTTCTCTTGAAGAAACTCTTCCTCTTCCCTTTTTCCTTTTCCTGCTCTTCCAGCTTTCACCTCCCGGCGCTAAGAAGGTGGGAGGGATGCTGACGTAATGCCCTTTTGCTTACTTATCACAGGGCGGCGCTGTCTTAACCCCAAAGCAGTCACGACTTGAAGAATGGCTTTGACTTGGTTGCTTTGGCTGGTGGGCCAGCTGCACTCATGTGGCATAGCTGTTGTGCCGGAGGTCCCAGCGGTGGGACGGTGGCCGCTGGTGGCACACGGCCTGAATATCTTGAGGCTGGCCTGCCCAGCGTCGCATCACATTTTTTCCTCTGAAAACCCCGTCTCCCTGCTCTTTGTAACCAGGTGGACTGGGTCCAGTGTGATGGCAGCTGCAATCAGTGGTTTCACCAGGTCTGTGTTGGTGTTTCTCCAGAGATGGCAGAGAAGGAAGACTACATCTGTGTGCGCTGTACTGTGAAGGACGCACCAAGCCGAAAATAAAAACACAAACACAAACACAAACACCCCCACCCCCAACCACTTAATGTAATTCAGGACTCCAACCAAGAAGATTTCTTCAGTTTCTCAGCAAAGCTGCAGGACTGGTATTCAGACCAGCCTGTAAACGGTGCTATTTCTATTCCTTACGGGATCATTTTTCCAGAACTCTTTGAAAAAAAGAAAAAACAACTAAAAAATTTTTTGACACTTTTTGTATTTTTTTCCTTAAGAGCTGTTTGTGGTGGTTGAGGTGTGAAATGCTGACTGGTTTTTTTGCAGGGGTTTCCAGCAATTTGGAAGGCATTGGAGCTTTCACCTTTTCGTGTACAGCATTAAAGTCTTACCTCTGTCTGGGATTTACCGGCTTAAGAGTCCAACTCCGTTCCAGTGCCCAGAAGGGCTGCAGAGATTCCAGTAAATCCTCATTTGAGGAATTTCTCTCTTGTTTACTCTGTTACCATATTGGGGAACTTAAGTTTTTCACTTTTGGGGTTTTTGTTTGTTTCTTTATCCACTTTTCTTTTTCCTGGTAGACTAGGTTTATTTATCAAAGCAATAACTTCTATGTTGGTTTCAGTGGCTGGAATTAAAACAAAACAAAACAAACTTCCAAACAGTGTGTTGGTGCTTTAGCATTTGGTTGATGTACAGAACACAAATGTCTAGTTTCTAGTGTCACTGATGAACTAGTGATGTAGAAAAGAGACTGCTCTGTAAGTAATTGCCACAGCTGTATTTTGGCTTTTCCCCTGCCCCTTCCTTCCTCTCCTACTATTTTTTTGGTAGCTTGTATCAAATGTTGCAGTTTATATTGTGGAATAAATCCTTGGTCCTAATTTAACACTAAATGCTGGTTATTTAGAACCATTAGACTACAGCTTCATACGCCCCTCTACTTGGTGGGCTTGGAAGAGCAAGAGGGGGGTTGCTTGCTTTTGCCTCTGCCCAAATAGGCTACAGCAGCGGTGGACGGTTCTTCTGTATCCTGTTCTGTTTGGTGGGCCATATGCCTCCCGTCTCTACTAATAAAGAACCCCACCTAGTCTTCAAGGAATAGAACTTGTCTTTAAAGCCATGATGCTTTTCAGTAAGCTTTTCAGAATGGTGGCAAAGCATTCCAGTCCTCCTTGTGAGAATGATGTCTTCATTATATTGGAATTGATAGGAAAACCTGGTTTAGGGTTAAGATGTCAAAAGGAAATCTAAGGAAGATGGTCTTGCGGAGGGCTGGGAAGGTGTGGGTCAAGGGACAGCTTGTAAACATGCAGGCTCTGCCTCCGACACTTCCTTCCCTGTCTCTGACTCTAGCTGTTGTTACTGGTTGTCCGTAGTCCACAGTCTTTCTCCTCCTCTCTTTTTTAAAAGGCTCTGTTCTGCAGTGAAGAAGGCCTTCTGCTGAACAGAACACACTCTCGCTTGGGTTTTCATCTTCTGTCGGTCATACTTATCCACCACCACCACCCCCCATTCTATAGCCATAAACCAGGAGATGGGTACAACTAGTGGGTCTTGAATGAAAGAAAACAAAAACAGCAGTTTGTGATGTAGCAGAGATTGAAATGATGCAATTCAAATAATTAAATCTCTTTAAGAATGACTTGCAATTGTCTGCAGTTTTCCCACAGTTGTTGTGATGTCTGTTCTCGTCTGTTGAGGGTTCTGGGGCCAAAAGAAGAGTCTCCAGAGGACAATCTGGAATAATCGTGCTTTGGCCTTTTTTAAGTATCCGAATTCTTAGAACCCCTGACACCGGGACAGGATGCCAGCTGTCCCAATTCCATTGCGAATATAAGCTAAAAGGATACACTGCAGTTAAAATAAAGCCTTTGCCTTTAGAGAGCTTTTGCCCATCTGGTATGTACCTCCTGTGCCCCCTCCTCGTTTTTCTTCTCACGTGTGGGTTGTCCACAGTCCCTGACGACAGCGTTCCCAGTGAGGTAGCTTCTCTGCCTCTCTGAGTCAGAGGGGAAGGGCAAGAATGTGTGTATTTGCTGCCCCCTCTCCCAGGAGAGAGCCTCTGATGTTTTCACATACGATGATACTGAAGTTGGAGAGAGTTGTCACCTGCCCACTGTTAAGAACCCAGATCTCGACTGCAGAGTGGTATTATCTAAGAACTTGTTTACGCGGTGTTAGCTGTGAAGCCGGGCTGTGTCCTAGAGAAATTTCTGCACCTGAGAAAGAGGAGAAAACACAGAGAAACTGATGCTTCACCTCCGTAGTCCTGCAGCTGCATGAGGTGTGAGAAGGAAGGACCGTCAGCTGGAGTCTGAGCTGGGAGGGGGAAGGAGTCTAGTGAACTCAGCTCCAGAGGGCCGATGACTGCCTCTGCCTCATGCCGGTGGCTCTTGTGTTTTTGTTTTTTCCTTCTTCCAAATCAGACTAGTGGATTTCTTACATGGACTCAAGAAAGGGCTTGTTTCTTATGTAGGCTCTAGGCTGGAGAAAGGTTGTGTAATTTAGACTAGCTGTAAAGGAGTTAGACTTCTTTTCACAATTTCATTTCAGTATCGTGGGAGGTGGAACTTATTTCTTCTATTTCAAGGTTAGCCTAAAGCCAGAGATGCTGTCCATGGTGGTGGAAGTTGGTAAAAGCCTGCATTTCCGTGCTTCATTCTGCCATACAGAGCTTCAAAAAATGCTATATAAAGATCTTGAGACTTTAGGTCTTCCGTTTTGACAGAAGTATCTGGTATTCACTTAATTTGCTGTTACAATTAACCTGACCCTTTGGTATTTATGCAGGATAACCGTGAGAACAAAGTGGAGGCCTACCTGGAAAGAGGGTAAAACTTGGTGTTGCATTGTACGTTTTGTTGAACTCTGAAGGCCCTTTTGTAATGGGTTTCTGCCTCTTCTGTTTTTTCATAATCTTGCTGGGTATTTGGCACTGTATTAAGACCTGCCTCTGGCTTGGATCAGGCACTGAGTGATATTTTGTGCTCCTGGGTGTTCTGGGCTTAGCCCTGCCTAGATTTCTTGCTATATAGCACAGATTGGAATGGATTATAGATGCTATTATATACCTGTAACAGGAGATAGAATTGAACGACAGATACTTCAAGAGTGATTACCCATCACCATTCAGTATCTGTGCTAGTCAGTGATAGGTGTCTACCTATATTAAGAGGCCTTTCGTTGCCATATTGATGTAGAAAACACAGTCCTCTTCTGATGAAAGTTTACCTGTTGGGAAGAAGAGCTGAGGAAAACAGTGAAGATCCCAGTGCCTTGATTTAGCTCCATATGAGAGTCGGAGTCCTTTCTCAGCTCCTGTTTGGGCACCAGAGCGATGGCCTCACACCTTTTGCCCCTGTCATCAGCCTCTTGCATGTAGCTCCTCAGGCTTCCCAACTTTCTGAGAGGTTCCATGTGTAACTAACTTGTAATTGAAATGTTACTGAAAAGCTGCCTAAACAAAATATTGTATAAAGTAGGAACTTGTGTAAAGTAATACTGTTGTAAATCCATTTCGAAAGTATAAAGAATCAATTTGTAAAGTGTATATTTCACGTCTTCCAAATTTATGTAAAGTTTTCATGTATCATGATTGCTTACATAGGAATACATCTTTACATTTTTGTCAGTATGAATGGAACCCAGCAACAGGCCATCCAGCTCCCTGTCCTGGCTCTGGGTTAATTGTAAAGAATGGAGGGCTGGGACATGGTGGGTTTGGACATGTCTTTTATTTTCAGGACAACTGCTGCATTGCCATCGAGGGATGGAATTGTGATGTCATTTGATCTGTTCCAGGTGAGTGGAGGCCAAAAGACTATTCTTTGTTTCCCCTAAGTTGGAAAAACAGAGAAATTAAAAAGTTGCCTTTCTGGGGAAACAAAAGTTACTATTTTTTTTTTTTTAATAAATGCCCAAAAGCACCCTCTCCAAAACATAAAAAAAATAAAAAATAAAAATCCAGCTCCCAGCAGTCTCCTCCCCACTCAAAGTTAGAGAGGAGTGCATGTTCTAGCCCTGACTCCTCCTCTTGTCCCGTGCCAGTGGTTTCTCACCATAATTTTAGTGGGAATTTAAACAAAAGCCGCTTTTACATATGATTGGGATGGGTAGTTTAACAGTTAAAAAGTCAGTTGAGTGTGAAAAAGTTGTACACTTAAGTTAGCCATACAGCATAGTTATCATACATATGCTTACGAATAAACTCTAAAAGTGAGGAAAATTATGGTTAGAGGGCAAGGGACCTTCATTCACAATAATCATGATGAATGATCTATGATTTTCAGCTTGAACTTTCTTAAAGTGAACCCTACTCTAACATGGGGCTCAAATTCCGCACCCCGAGATCAAGAGTCGGCGTGCTGTACTGACTGAGCCAGCCAGGAGCCCTAGCTTGGACTTCTTTTAAAATGGATAAAGAATTTAGACATTGTGAAGGAACTGGACTTCAGGATTCTAGATAATTTACTCATTTCTCCAATCTATAGTTTGACCTAAAGCTAATTTAATAGCAAGTTTTATAAGCATCTCAATATTCACATCACTTGTATGCCTAATGTGGGACTCGAACTCACAACCCTGAGGTAGAGAGTCACATGCTCTACTGAGTCAGCCAGTCACGTGCTCTACTGACTCCCCCAATCTAGTTTTTATACAGGTTCTTTTCACACATTTCATTGGTTGTGCAATAATGAGAACATAATTACTTGCACAGATGAAGTAGTATAGGATGAGGAACAAATGCGGCTCCACAGGTGATCAGAAGGGAGCAAATTACCAGCGCTCTTCAGGCCAAGACCACCAGTACCTTTTACAGAAAGTACAACAAGCTTAGCTTAAGCTAGACTTGGTCCAGCTCTTGTGAGGCTTTCTCAGCCACTCGGAGGAGGCTGTTGTTAGAGATGACCTGTAGCCTCTGGAACTGGCCCTACGCGCTGACCAGTTAGCGCACAGAGAATTCTGTTCCTTTAGTGCTAACGGAGTCCCTGTCACGGTCACTGTTCCTTAGGGTGACGTCTCAAGGTGTAGGTAGCAAGTATCCCTATTTCACAGGTTTAAAAACTAAAGCAAGCCTGTCCTAGGTCAGGTGGGCTTAGGAATGTGAGGAGACTGATCTGGAAGAACCAATCCCTCAGTGTGGTTTGTTGGTTTCTGGTCTGGGGCTCTTTGAGTCTCAAAGGACTCAGCATATTGGCTCCTGGCATTGGTGACGCCGCTTTACCCTCTGCCCCAGCCCCCACCTTCCTCTTGTCTCCAGACAGTAGGCAAGGAGTGGGCAAGTATGACCGAGGTCGTAGTCCCCAGTGGGCCATTTGTTCTGTTGTGACTGTGGTTGTGAGAGTCTTTTTATTTTCTAGAGATGACATGGTCCAGCAGCCATCACTAGCCTTGAAGTGGCCACTCCTGAATGGGCAAAATGCCCTCAACAAGTTTCGTTTTCCTGACAGTGAGAACACGGTCCATAACGTGTGTCCCATGAGAGTGCTGGCCCTCCAGAGACCTGTGTGTCCCCTCAGGCAGTTTCATGAGCGGAGGCGGGTCACGGGCACAGGCCTCTCAAACTTGTCGTGTATGCCTTGCAAGATGACTGAGCATGGCGGGTGCGAGTGTCCAGACTGTTCTCATGATCTCTTCGTTGCTGTCCCACCCCGTTGTCACCCCACCTGAAGAAATTCTTCAAGGGGGGAATAGGCGGCTTAGAGTGGGGCTTCTTACCGAATCCAGGGGAAGTGGTGTCCAGAAACCGAAGCAGAGGAGAGTCTGAAGAAGGAATAAGTCCGTGTGGGCGCTCTGTTGATTAGGCAGCTGCCTTCGGCTCAGGTCATGATCCCAGGGTCCTGGAATCAAGCCCCGCATCGGGCTCCCTGCTCAGCGGGGAGCCTG